ATTCCAGTATTGCAGAGCATGGAGTTGTGTATCTTCTATAAGACTGGCAACTGATTTGTGTCTTTGACATATGACATACAAAATGTGTTACCCTGTTTCTGTGATTCTCGTGAGTGCTCAGTAAGACTAGTGAGAGCAAGCAGAAGCCATGTGAAATTTCAGTGTGAACAAGGAACAAAAGATCAGCAGATTGATCAGAGGTTCCTTTCATCTTTACTATGCTCATGGATACTATATGCTAGTGGTCTTTGTCAGCAAAAGTAACCACACAAGTTATATGAAGGTCCAGCTACCAAAAAGACACTTTTGTTTCTGCTGATTGCTGCTTTTTTTCCCCCTCACCGGTTTTACATACAGTAAAATCAAAACTACTGTCTCTCTACATAATAAGTTCACAGGATTAAAAAGCAGCGAGGTTAATAATTCATTTGCATACCAAGCTTCCAAACTGAACTGTACAAATGAAGACCTGAAGCAGAGGTTCTGTACTCACCTGCACAAATGGCCACGGCAATGTAAGCAATGGTGGTGATGAGGATGGCCAGCATTGTTCCTTGGGGTATTGCACTCTGGGGATCCTTAAAACAAAGCAGGGACACGAAAAACTGTGAGTTTGTGTGCTGCAGTCTGATTGCATTTGTGTGCTGGGAGTCCTGCCACACTGTGGTATGAAGATACCCTTAGAGGGCAGATTTTTATCCCTTGACCTACACCAGCATTTCGGGTCCCAGCACGCAGTGGTCCTGTGGTGCAGTGCTCCTGTCCTGGACACAGTGAGGGATATTCTACAGGAGCAGAGGTCACATTTATTGCAGCAGGAGGGTCCTGATCTCTGCATTTCTGAGAGCTCCAAACTATCTTTACATTGCAGTTGGCTTTATTTTAATGTTTAATGTTTTAATTTACCGATGTAATCGGTAAATAGTTACTGAACCAACCATCAAACTCCTGTGGATGACAAGATGGGACCATTTTTGGTTAATTGGTGAGATGGATGCAGTGACCCTGTACAGAATACAGTAGTTCTGTGATTAGCAACTAGTAATTGTTAGTTGGGTCTTCACAACAGCTACTTTCTTTCACTGTTTTGACTTTTAATTTAGATAATTTAATAAGGCTGGGTTGTGATGCTTACAGACTAGCTCACAACAATATCGGCTTTGATCATGCAACTGTGAGTCCAAAGATCTGCATTACACATTTTAAAGGGGTTTTTAATGCTAGATAACCTTACAATTTAGGGTGTGTTTGTTTATGCTAGGAAGCATTTTTTATTAATTGTCTTCTTAAGTTGGTTTAGTAAGGTTTTTTAAATAAAAAATGAGTTGAGTGCATTTTAAGTCACAGACTTTTTATAACTATGGTCATTGCATGGTTAAAAACAATGTGAAACATGGATGAATGGCTTAACTGTGTTAATAATTAATATAATTTTTAAATGAGGTAAAGATTTATTGAGCTGAGAAATGGTTGTGAAGTCACTTGATCTGCATTTAGCACCCTTTGCTCTCAGACCTTGGCAACTTTATGCAGTTCTGGTGTGCATGTTTCAGGTCATCTAGAGCCTAATGTGGTTGTCTTAAACTCTGTAACGTTAAATCTTAGTGTTAAGTCTTTTTACAGCTTTACAACTTTTAAATTCTGTCAAAAATCAAACACATATTTACTATGTTGTTAGCACTTTAGGGGCTGCTGAAGTCGCCAGGAAGACTATTTGTTTTTGGAATTAGGCTTTGGACTAAGACACAACTGGAGTGTGTAGTGGCTGCAGGAGCATGTATGAAGGTGTTTGCAACAAATTCCAAAGAAAGTTTGGTTGGTCAATATTACACTTTTTAAACACTCCTTAGCTTGTCTTTTAGGTTTCTGGAGAGGCTGGTAATTTAATTAGACCTGTCTAATGCATCTAAACATGCTCAGTGGGGAATCTGCAGCCTGGAGGACTTGCTTATAGAAATCCACTTATTGTCAGACTGCAACAACTGCAGAGATCCAACGGGAGAACTCTGTCTGCTCGGATTCTTTCAAACCGCTTATGAAAGAAGTGCTGCTGCTTTGGGAGCTGCCATGTAGAGAGAGCACCATATATGGCAAAAGAATTATTTTTGTTTGTTAAAAGGATGGAGATTGTGTGAGGCTGATTCAGTCTCACTGGGCAGAAGTACAATGATTTTTGTTTTTTTAATTAAAACTAGAATCTCACTGACGCTATCAGTGACTCAGTTTCAATGTAGTTCTCTCTGTGCTTGGCTTGAAAAGCAGTCCTTTGAAAACAAAGGAGATGAGGCATCAGCTCAGTGTGAGGAAGGGAAAGAGAACTGGCTGTCAAGTGTGGTAGGATGTGGTTAACTTGTGACTCCTATGCCAATAGAGATATAACAGACCTTTGGATGAATCCTTAGGGTATCCAAGGCAATGGATTTATGTGAGAAGGCCAAATAACTTTGTTTGACATACTGGGGTTATCAAGCTGTGAGTGACATCTTGTTGGTAACTTTTTTTTATTTCTCTTTTTAATTTGGGGGGGGTTGGATGTTTTTGTGATGGAAACTAGAGGGCACTCGAAACTAAATTCCTGTCTCTAGTTTACCTGTAATTTTAGATGCTGGAAATACCATCCCCTACAACTGCTAAATGGCAAGAGGAGAGTGGGGAACTGACAGAATGGCCACAGCAAGACAGTTGGTCGCCCTTGGACCTCCTTCCCCTTTCTCTTCAGACTCCTTTCTTTTGTCACAGCTGCAAACTTGCAGCTTTTCCTTTGAGCAGCAGTAGTGACATGGGATTGGGACATACTTGCTTTCATTAAATGCCCTGTTTGCTCTGCCCTTACTATGTCCCTGAATACAAAAGGTGGTCTCTGCCAATTCCTGTGAGTACAAACATGAGCTTTACAGGTATGATTTTTGGGGTGATGTTTGGATTGATGTTTACAAAATACAAGCTTTAAGAGATACACATATAATTTCTCTTATGTCATGTGCTGCTAATGGACCATTAATGATATATTATTACAGGTTATTGAAACATGCTTTTAAATGATACAATAACCCAAATCTAACTGCAATAATTTCTCTAAATAGCCACAATGCTTATGAGAGAAAATGTGAACTGATGCTTTCAATTAATAAATCAAGTACTTAAAAGTGAGAGTTTTGCTTCCCAAAATAAGACATGGTTTAAAACCAAATACAGTGTTGATTCATGATTTGTTTTCTTGTTCTTTTTTTCAGCCTACAGATAGTATTATGAAGTTAATGAAATACGTACTTTCAGATCTCCTGAGATATTGGCTCCTGCAAGAATGCCAGTGGCAGCTGGGAAAAAGATGGCAAACACCGAAAAAAATCCTTCTCCACTTCTGAAATCTGGTCCAAAGTTTTCTGCAAATATTGATGCTGCAAATACAGGTGAAAACGAAATATACCACCAGGATTTGATTCCAAAGTTACTTAATGAAGGAGGAGAATAAGCCAGTCTTTCACATCTGGAAGATTGGGTTTGAATGTGTCTCATATCATAAGCAAAGTGAATTTGATTTCCTCAGTCTGGTCCCCAGTAGGATGGGGTTGTCTGCATCTCAGAGCTACAGAGCCATACTGAAGTGACAGAAGTGTCACTGCAGTACTTGCACTTAGGTCTGTGTTAAAGTTTGTCTGTGCTCTACTGATGTATAAATGACTCAAGCTGCAGCTCACTGTGCTGTCAACTTCAGCAGCAGAGAGACAGACTCAAAATTAAAGATGAAATAAATTCCCTTTGTTTGCAAACTCACTTAAACTTGGTCAGAAGATTCTGATCTTTTGACCTTTTTCAGTGGAATCCTTAACTTACTACTAAGCCAAAAGAATGCAAACATGATTTTATGATAGCAAGGTTGCTTACCTTGGTAATTAAAAAAGCCTCTTGCCTTCTTTTCAGTGTTGGTAGGAATGACTGTCCCGATAAAGAAGTTTGCAATGGCAACAAGGAGAACAATTAGAAGAATAACTTGAGCCTATTAATAGAAGCAAAAAGATTTTCCTGTTAGTTTTAATTTGTGTTGCTGTGGAGATGGCTATATAGTAAGTTATCTGTATGTGTTCCCTATGACAGGTTATTAATTTCTGTAGTTTACCAAACTACCAGGAATCAAGATAGCTGAATCAGCTAGTGACGACAGCAGATATTTTTTACTAAGGGAGTAAAGAAATATGTAGTTATAATTTAATTTTATGTTAGTTTCTTTACAAGGAAAGGCAAAATGGAACAGTAATGCATTAATATCAAGTATAAGACGTTTTTATATTGTTATAAAATTTGTTTAGTTGCAGTGAGTTGTGACTTCAAGGGTTGTAATATCAAATTGTTTTCTGATCTCTTTTTCAAGTAGTTCTAGTCTCCATCACAGCAGAATGTAAAAATAAGGATGCTATTGAATCAGTTTTCTGGTCCTGATTTCAATAGCTTTATTACACCCTCTAAAGTATTTCCATTTGAATTTGCATTCTGACCTTTTTTTACAGGTGAAGGAATAGCAGAAATCATTAGAGATTAAGGAATGGGTAGCAAATAGAGATCTTCTGCTGAGCAGGGCTTGAAAGAGGACAGTGATAAAACAATATTTTACTACTGTTTATTCTGTCAAACTGCATCAAAAATAAGGGCAAAAGGGGCACTTAGCCAAGGCTCTAAATGAAGCCATGAATTATAAAAATCAATATAACCAAGCTGTCTGCAGAACACAGACTTCCTCTTTGCTTTTAAATGTATGTTCAAGGAAGAGTGTGGAGTAATTGTGCTTTCATTGAATGTAATGATTAAACTGCTCTTGCTTTTAGAAAGATTAAGCATAAACTGAAACTGGGTGCCTCTGAAAATTCCACCTGTTGTGTAGCATTCCTCCCACACAAATTCTGTACAGTAGGCTAAAATACCACTTGCTTTAATGTTCTTTTAAAGGTTTACCTTTGCTTCCCACTCCATGCCAGCAGCAGTGATGCCGAGAAGACAGACAACAGTTATGGTGCCTATGATTCTGATGTCATTGGACTCATCTACTATCAGAGTATCACTCTCCTGAAAGCAGTGAGAAATGTTAATAGAACCAGTATATCTCTGTCCAACTGGTGGGATCAAGTAACAAGGTGAAGTAGAGAGCAGTGAGCTGTCAAAGTTGCAGAGATTTATGAGACCAAGTGTTTGTATTTCATGTTCCAGCTGGCCTTTTGCAGTTGGGGTTATTTGGCTGTCTAATTAGATGTCTGTTCCTCTTCTGATTTTGAGATTCTTGTCAAGAAATGTATGAAATATATTCATAAGGTAGAAATAATGGAGAATTTCTCTGTGGCATGTTTAGACACACCAGCTTCTTCCTGCTAAAAATGTCCCTCAAGCCTTAGCTAAAAAGTATCACCACTTAAACAAATATATTATGTAAAACAAACACCACCCCCTAAAAAAAGAAAAAAAGCCGCACAAAAAACCTAAACCAACTTAATCATATACCTGAAACATCTACATTTACCTTAAGAAGTTCCACAACTGTTTCAGCAAATCCAACTACATACATGGCAACTGCCACTGCATTGGCAAAGGCAAAGATGAGTCCTATAGATCCACCAAACTCTGGGCCCAGACTCCTTGAGATAAGATAGTATGCTCCACCTGCAGACAGAAATGATTGTTATTTTGGCACAACTAAATGCTCAGTTTTTGCTGTTTTTTTCCCCACATAACAATTACTGCAGAAATGTGTGCTTTCAGCCTCACAAATATAACCGAGCTTTGCCCTATGTTGATAGAGGGCACTTAGAGAAAAGCAATGTGCTTTGCACTGGTTCTGCCCTCAGACATCTCAGTATGCCTTTCTATTGCAGAAATCTTTTAGTGCACATTAGCATGCAAAACAGGACCTTGGTATAATTTTTCATGATACATGATATAATAACACAAAGGAGAGAGATCCTCACTTCCAGACAGATTCTAACTTACATGGATCTGTCCCAGTGTTAGCATGAAGGATCATATTCTGTGGTACATTGTTTAAGCTCCTGCATAGTGATGCAGTAAATCTTTAATCTTTTTTGCATTAAGTTTATATACATTTTAATTTGCTGTTGATGCGCTGAAAGAAATCACTCCACATATATTTATTTATTATTTCTTTGCTTATAACACAGTTATCTCAATTCCATTTATTTTTCTAATTAAAATCTGCAGATTTTTGTATTTTTCATGAGATCATATTCACTTACCTCCTCTTACTACTCCATTAGTGCAAATGGCAGACATGGAGATACCTGTCAATGTTGTTACTACTACACTCAGAGCAATAACTATGATTCCAAGACCTGAAAGATCCGAAAAAGAAAGTATAATCAAGTGTATTCCGGTACCTGTTGTGCTTAAACGACGTAGTAAGAACTTGCCATTTTCCAGAGGTTAGACCAGGCCAGATAGAACTTAAAGGCTCTGAAATGCACTAGAAATTTGTTTCATAAAATACCTGACATGCACTTCTACAGCGAAATCATTTACTCGTCTTCCAAGGAGTGGCTGAAATGTAAGGAGTGTTATAAAGAAGGCATTAAACTGAAGGCATCCACTGATGTGCATCAGTATTTAAAATGAGAGGAAGAGGTGTCTCCATGCTCAGTTTGTTGAAGGATGTCCAACCTGGAATGCTCTGAATAGGAAAGACCAGCTGAAAGGTAAGAGCAGCCATGGAAAGCCAGCAGCCATCCCCCGCTCACAGCAGGCAGGAACACCTGAAATGTACTTCTCAGACTGAACTGAAATCTGTGGTTTATTAAAAGTGACTACCCAAACATGCCTTAAATTGTGATGAGAGGTGGCTAGAATTGTTACCTTCCAGTTCCTTTAGATGTACCACTTGGTTTATCGTCCCTCTGGTTTGTCTCACACGGAAATAATACATAAATACCTTTTTGGGCTTGAAAGCATTAGTAACCCTAAGATTTTTACCTCCACGGACAAACCCATTAGTTGCTATTGCAGAAGTTGACAACCCAGTAATTGAGGTTACCATCGTGGCGAGGAGAATTATGATTACTCCAAGACCTGTCAGTAATAAGAAGATAAAATATTTTACTCATGTTCCATGTTTCCTACAAATCATTCTCTCTTTAAATTGAATTTTCAGGCCAGAATCAGAGCAATAAACTGAAAAGATGGTTTGTTGACCATTTGCAGCTTGCAGAACATTTTCATGGAGGCCATGACACGGCTGTAAATTATTCCCATCAGTCTTCAAGCAGTGATTTTTTGTGATAGGAGTACTCTAGCCAGAAATTCTCATGATTTTCAAAGGCTGAAGGAAATGAACAAACAAGTGTCCCTTGACATGGAAACTTATATCTACCTTTAACAGGCATCCTGGCTGTTTAAATGAGGAGACTGACACATTAACCAGAGCTCTTGTAAGAATGCTGCTGTCTTTCATCAGATAATTAAATAGTGAGTCAGAGGAAGACTCATAGTGCACCAGGACAAAGAGTCAGTCAGGCAGAGAGACAAAACCTGAGTGATGTCCTCATCTCCCTCTTTCCCTGCAAAAAGTAGTTTTAGTCTAACACAGGACAAACATTTGAAAATGGAAATACTGCTTTTTAGATGCCATTTACTTTAACAGGTGACCTGTAATCTTAGAGAACTTAGAATATTCTTCTTTTACTTTAGCTGATATCACAAACTTGAGTAATTGAACAGAAATAATCAAACATCTGAAGATCAGTGAAAGGTGATTAGTTACAGGTGAACTGGGTTTTACTTTAAGTTACGCTCTGAAATCTGAGAACGTTTCCAGTCTTTGGTTGTATGGTCAGGTTTCTGTTAAGGATCAGTTTTTAGTTTTATCTGAACTTGCTAAGGCTTCTGCACCAGCTGCCTTGTGTCTGTGAGGTACACAGGTGTTCAGTGTGGAACTGGAGAACACACATTGTCTGTAGCAATATTTATTGACCAGGGCTCATCCAGATTGAAACTTGGATCCGACAACTAACACTCAGCTAGAAGTACTACAAACTTATTGATTTATCTGGTTTATTTCTACCTTCTGGCTTCCAGATCAGATTCCTGACTTCAGTTCATAGTGGGTGGTTATAGCCACCCAGTCCCTGAGTGAATGTTCTTTGCTGCTTAAATTATAGCCATGTTATCACAGTCCTTTAAGACAGAACGATGTCATGTGCAAGACATAAATGATATATAACGTGGTGTAGGATATTCAAAGTGATTTGAGCCTCTAATAAATTATGTTTATCCTATTGATTTCTGAACTCTAATTAGTCATGCAGCTGTTTTGTATGCAGGTCTGTATAAAAAGAAATCCAAATGGTCATTCCTTTTGGTCAGCTACCATTACACAGAAGGTTAAACCATGCAAATTTTGTGTCTGAGGAGTGGCTGAACATGATTTTTAATCAGTTGTTAACTCTTAAATTGAATAAGTTAGACATATTATTCTTAAAGTAGTTTTAAAATTATTTGGTAAGTGCATGTGCATCCTAAGGAGTATTTTTCAAGGATGTTTTATTGCATTTCACAATTCATGTCATTAACATGTATATGATATATAGAGTTACTAACTTGGTAGTAACATCGTCGTGGAAAGACTTTAATGTTAATTTTTAAAAAATATTGTAAGATTTAAGAATAAAAGTGCATAAAATAAAGTGACTCAACCAAAACATCGTCATATAACATAACATAATTGTAATATTCAGGGCCAGATTTTCAGGTAACATAAACTTGGTGTTTTTCCCTTCCTTTGGCTAACCATTCCAGGTACATGTAGTCCCCAGATGTTAGGTGAAAACACCAGACTAGTTTTGGACCTGGAATCTTGTCAGGGCCATACTGTCACTTTTTTCCCAGCTGATGATAAACACAGATCTTTGTTGAACAGTATTTTTTCCCCCTGTAAGAGCTTTTGCCCAAGACAGCTTATCAGGATATGGAAATAATTGGGTTTGCTCTCTTTGGCCCTCTAATGATGGGGATATAAATGGTGCCCAGATGGTGGTTTAACTGACTCATTTAATTTCCATGTTAGTAGCAGTACCCAGTGAAATCCCTGAGCCTTGGTGATGATGAGCTTCCATCACTGTTCTCCTTAAGCAGCTTGGCTAGGGACTTAAAGCTCATTGCTAATAAGACATTCAGAAAATGCAATGAGAAATTATTCATATGGAATTTGACGTCTCATTTTCAGATGTAAAACTAACCTCCTTGCATAACACATGCAACTTTAAAAAGCCACAGCAGAGCAATAAACTATGAGGAAAGAGAGTCTGCTTATCAATGAGTTAAAATGGTAAAATTAAAAGTGAAAGCAGAAAAGTTGTAACTGATATTGGTGCAAATTAATGTTAAAAATCTGATTAAAGTTTAGATTGAAAAGCAGGCATATGGCTCCTAAGTAAGTTGTTCCAAAATGAATTACTCTTGCCCATGGCTATTCTCACACCTCAAAACAAAGTAATACTTCTTGATGATCTCAATAAGTTACTAAACTGCCCTTAAAAACTAATTTTGCATGAAACCCCAGAGCAAAGTCTTGGCAATATTAAGATGCAGAAATTTCATGGCAAGGCATATAGTTATGAGTGCCCTGGGCTGTACGTGCTCATTTGGTATGCATCATAAAATCAGCAAGCACCCTTTTGTCAGGCACAGTGCTGGAGCCACGCATGGAGCACTGCAGAAGTACTAAAGTTCTCCTGCTTAGTTCTGGATCTTTTATTGTTGGGTTTCTTGTTTCTGTTTATGTTTCTCTAAGTTTGTGGCTGGATTTTTTACTTAATAAGCGTTTCCTTTGTTATTTTTTTTTTAAAAGCTCAGACTTGCTCAAGTGAAACTTCTATGAAGTTACTGTATTTTATTGGAAATGAGACTTCTTCCATGCTAAATTTTGGAGATGTTTCGATTCAATGTTTCATTTCGCTTCCATTAATAAGGAAGTGAATGATATTTATACCAATCTGATTTTGAGCACTGAGTTTTATCCAAGCCCAGCAGAGTCAACGCTCCTTAATTTACTTAATGTTTCCATTCTGTGAGCATCCAAACTGGAATACTTGCCATCGTGCCTTTGGATTGCATTTTTTGCAACATCTAGGTGCCAGTCAAAGATTAGGGCCCCAACACTGCAGATTGCAGGATCATGGATCACAGAGTGACAGTGCCATCGCAGGTCACCTTTCTGTGCTCCCCCAGAGCAGCAGCTCTAAAAAGGCAGTTGTACCACACAGAAATTGCACCTCATTGAGCTGCTCTTGTAGTGCTGGAGATTCTTGCAGCATTGTGAGCACTTTCCTCTCTCACTGGTTTCATTGAACACTCAGCAACACACCGGATGGAGGCCTCGGGGCCCAGTCTCCCAGGGACTGGCATTTGGAATTTGGATTAATTAAACTGCACAACGAAGGAGCAGAGATACAGCACATAATGAAGTGTACTTAGTTAATTTATATGAAAGCTACAGCAGAGTTTTTTAAACTTAGTCTTTCATAGTACACTAGTATCTAGTACTGTACTGCAGTTAAAAATAACAAAATCCTGATGAGATGAGACCTCCTTCCAGTTCTGTTTTCATCCTTGCAGAGAAGTGTGAAGAAGTGTTGTTTCTAATATGTAGATGACAAGGTTTGGGTTTGACAGATAAGCAAAGTGTGAACTCTTAAAGGTTAACTCTGTACTCACATATTAGAAATTGGCCCAAGTCATAAAGTTTACATCTGTTACAGGATCTAAATACAAATTTCAGTAAAGCTTAGAAATATTCAAATGTGATGATCATATGCATAGTTAACAGATCTGTGCCTCTAAGCAGTAATTTGGCTGTGAGTCTGGAAAATTCCAATAGTTTGGAGGATTAATGTCTTTTACCTTGGCAAGCATTTGAAAACGTTATTTAGTTCAACATGCAAATGCACATCTCAGATTATATATTAATCATGATCATGTATAGTTTATCCTCTTTATCCCTTCACTGTTGAAAATGATATTAAATAAGATACATACCAATTCCTGCTTGACCTACAATCCAGGAAAGTCGAATAAAGAGCATCACACCCCAAATATTAAGCATGCATCTTACCTAGGTTTTAAAGAAAAAATACTGCATTAGTGCAGTGTTGAAAGTAGTGTTAACAACCAGAAGCATGACAGAGTACATCTCAGGCTTTTAAAAAACACCCCAAACATCCCTGAAGTCCATCTCCCACTCTTAATTCTTAGAAGACCTTAGTGTAACAGAACTGATTTTATTTGCTTTTAATTTTTTTGTTTAGAAGTGCAGGTAAGTTTCTCACCAGCACACCCTTCACCCATCCGAACTTGACAAATCCTGCTTTGTTTTCCTCTTCCTTGCTGGCTGCTGTCTCATCTCCAGCCGTGCTCTCTCCATTAGCCATCCTCTCCACTGAGCCAGTGCTCACAGCGATGTTCTGGAGAATCACACAGAAAACAAACACAGTTTTGTGCAAAGCAGAGGACACCTGGCTGCATTAGAGAGACACAGGAGAAAGATATTCCAAAGAAGATCATGTTTTACTGCCTCTGGAGTAGAGAGCAATATTCTGCTCACACCAGGCATCAGCAGGTGGGCTTGCTAACAGGGAGAAAAGACGAAAGAACCGCTTAAGCAGAGTAAATACATTATTATCTGTACTTAAGTGTTTTTATTGTGAACTATTCCACATACATGTTGTGTTGATATGTAAGTAGAGCATCTAAGACAACGAGAGGCTCCTGGTTGGCCTCTGCATGCTCTTGCAACAATTTATGAATAACTCCAAGTGTAGAAGGAGGGATAATTGCTCAATAGTGAAAAGAGTGCAGCTGAGTGCTGCATGGTGAAGTTATGTGATGAACTCCAGTGTTTTCTGTTGGATAAAGTACAAACATAACTGCAGCAGCAGATGGGTAACATATTCCTGAAAACAGTTAGAGAAATGCCAGTGAAATGTAGTAAATGAATAATCCTTTCTGTGTTTTAGCCACCTCTGGTGTAAGCATAGTAGATAGGATTAGGAATTGCTGTATTTGTGGTGTAACCAGAATAATAGTCCAGAATTTTAGATTGTTCATATTCAGTTACAAATATAAATCTGTATTTTATCTCTTCAGCTCTTCTGCCCCAGAATCTTTGAGGCAATTTAGCAACATGATATGTTTCTTGTGGCTTGAATAGGAATTAGTCATGGTGCTGAGGTTTATACTCTTTGTCATTGCTGCTTTTAATTTCTTTTTTTATCTTATTCAGAGGTCTCACTGGTTCTGGGAGGAGCTGGCATTAGGTTAGCTATTGCCAGATATTTTCTGGGTCCTCTGCAAAGGCCTTCAGGAAGCACCAAGCCCCTTGCCATAGTCTGGCAGAGTCAGGAGTGGGTGCCACTTCTGGAGAGGAATCAAGGTGCTTTTAAGGTTTGGAGGTTAATGAAGATATTTCCAGATTAACCAAGCAGGTCAAGGAGGAAAAACATCTGTAATTCTGTGAAACATGAGATTTTTCATCTTGGTTGACTTTAAGGCTGTTTCTGTATTTTGTCCGTGAACTTAAAAATACCCAACACACAAAGCAAAACAGACATAAAGGCCAACTGAATATGCCTTTTACACTAATATCTGGACCTGCCCCTCATGGATGGGGGCTCTAGTCATGATGATGCAAGGCTGTAGAATGCCTTTGACACAGTAAATCCAGGACTGTGCTCACAAATGAGAAATAAGTGACTGGATAATACATTTCGACATGGACTAAACTTGGTGCCTACAGCCCTGTTGGCCCTAAGTGAAATGGGAATACAAGATCTGTTGAAAGCCTGTGACTTTGAGCTCCTGAGTTACTTAGATACTTTTGACAATTCTTACCCTGAAATAATAATGGCCGTGTTTGCTCAAAATACGGTAAATGATTGAAGTGAGTTAAGGAAGATCAGCAGAATAATATGAGGATTTTTTGCTACAGTAGTTAGAATTTCAAAGACAAAAAAATTAGAAGGGTTTGGTCTTTGTACTTGAAACAAGTTGTTTCCTCTGTACTTTGAATTAATTTGTGCTCTCTATGCCATTATCATAAATTATGGCCTTAAACCTTCCATAAATGCATTTTAAATTGGCGTGCTTTAGTGAATGATTGGTTATTTACCAAGCAGCTGTACCTGTGCTACTCATGCATTAAGGATGTGGAATAAAAGTGACAGAACATTTTGAAAAGCTACTAAAATAAAAAGTTAACTGCTTTAAAAAAAATAAAAAAGAACTAACCCAAACATTTTCCTTTCTTGTTTCAGAATGGTTTAGTCTTCATCTCTCCTGGGGCTAAAGATGATGAGCTCATCAAGTCTCCGTAACAAGTGTGGAGAATAGCCAAGAGGAAGAAAGGTTAGATTATTTCTTATGTAGGGTAAATATTAAGCCCAAGTAATTATCAGCAGCCATCAGCTGTGAAGTAGCACTTAGACTATTTTTCAGAGATTTAATTGGCGATCTGTGGCTTAATATGTGCAAAAAACTGACATGTCTTGCTAAAAGATGACACACATTTGACTCCAGCAGTGTGGAAACTAGATATTTGAAGTTCCTTTCAGCCTGCCTTACATTCTGACATTTGAAAAATTGCATATTAAAAAAATGTATTAAATATTAATATTTATCTTCTGATGTGAAGCCCAGCATCAAAGCACAATGGGAATGGTTATGTGATGTTTAGCAATCTGAAGTCAAACATATGCCACTTCTTATCAGAATCTGGCAATGGGCTTGTGACAGTATAGTTGTCTTCAACAATCTGAGTTTCAAATTGGGGGTGAGGGGGGTGGGATTGCCTTGGGGTGTAATGTGGTAAGCCCAGATTTTAGTGTTGAAGTAAAATAGAGCATCCTCTTCAGAACTGCACCTCGGGCTATTGTGTAACCCTTTTACCTGCTCAATGGGGCATTTCATCCCCTCCTTGCTGGTGGCCAGAGCTCCTGCTGCAGGCAGGGCCCCTGTCCAGCTCCTCATACATATCCTATCCTCCTGATAGGGGCTCTCCCTTTTCATACCATCCTAATTCCCTTCCCTACTAATCTGCTATTTAGTGACCTTGTGTTTGTTTATTCTTCAGAATAAGCTCTGCAGACCGAAGTGATTTGCCCAAGGTCACCAAGGGAGACCCAGGGACAGCCAGGCACAGACTCCAGCCCTGCTAATGGCGCCTCGTTTGTTCCAGGGCTGTGCTCAGTGGCTCCCACACCAGGGCCACAACTCACATAAGGGCACAGCAGGTGCCAGTGTAACAAAAGTCCCATTACCTCTGACATTCACCTTCCTGTTTTGAAAGGCATAAGATTAGCCTTCTGTAAGCCAAATACTGGAAAAAGTATGGAAATGACCAAGCTAGATAATGCTCTTTTCTCTTCCCTAACAGTCCCAACCTGTGAAGCAATTCTCCATTTTATTCTGTGATGTCATCTGCCTTCTTTTTAACCTCCTCTAAGTGAAAGCCTTAAAAAAACCTAAACAAAGTCATCTAATTTTGTTTAAAATATACAAACCTTTGAGAGATACAGCAGTAAAAACCATCGAATTTTCTGGTTATGATCAAAACTGAAAATTCCTTAATCTGCTCATGTTCAGTACCTGATCATTCAGCATTATGTTCAAAGCCAAGACACTATTTTGCTCCTCTCTGGCCATTACTGAAGTAAATTATTTCTATAAGAGGAAGTTTTCTTCTGGGCATAGAAATGTGTTTAGTCTCTTGAGTAGCAGTTTGTACATCTGCAAACAAATACGGATACCAAATTCATATTTTTTCCCTTTTATATCCACTTTGCATTCATCTTTGGAAATGCTTCTCCTTTCCATGTAAGCCATTTTACACAGGTCTGTGGAGACCTTAATTTAAGTAAGTTAGGCCAAGGCTAGGAAGCTGCCCTAATAAGATCCTAAAGAATCAGGTCCTAATTTGCTAATGGCTGTTTTTTTTCTTGATTTCATTATTTTATATTACCCTCCTTAGGACAGGTGAATCTGCAGAGAGTGGAAGTCTGAACAAGATCTGGACCAGCATCCAAAAATCAGATGCTTGTCCAAATTATTCAGACCTCAGAAGTATGTAAAACTGAGTGGAATGGGGATGAGAGCTTATTTTCTCTCAAAATTTCTCATTTCACAATTGGCCAACACAGAAGAAAGAATGGGGATTTTTGCTGCATATTGGCACTTTTAGTCTCAGCTTGACTGAGCAATGATCTCTCTCCAGCCCTGCCCTGATAAGTGCACAATTAAGAACCTCAAAAAACGTTTTTGATTCTGAAAGTAGCTGTATCCTTCCCATGTCTCTGCTTGTTACAAAGAACTTGGTATTGTGGCTTAAGAGGGAAGAGTCTAATTTTACCAAAGTCAGTAGAGTAACATATTATTCCACTGTTTTGTAGTAGGTCTTTTAGTAGTTTAACTGTTTCAAAGTGCTTGATCTATTTGTTCTTGCCACAGAGGTTCTTATTACAGCTTTCTATGCTATTTGGTTTTTTTCCACATAGGGTAATCAACCCTTAAAATATCTAGACAGGTGACTAAACAGCAAAATTCATCTGAGACACTAACACAGAAATTAGTGAAAATCTGGTTTTGAGACTTAATATTACCAACTTCTCAAATTCTTTCCAGTGGAAGTTTTCAATGTGCAAACCCCAGAGGATTATACCTGACAAATGTATATTCTTCTGCAAGTAGCCATGGGAGGTGACAAAAGTGAGGATTATCATGATAAAAGGCATGTTTTGGTATTTCATTATTCACTTACTGTGGTGTATATGTGGAAAAAGTGGAGCAAACAGGAAGAGTCTGCTAAGGGGAAGGGGGTTTTTCCCCACAAAATGCATATCTATCAATAATAAATGCCTACAGTGGGTCCACCAAAAATAGGTCTCTCTGAAGGAGAGAGGAGAAACAGCTCTACAAAATCATTCAAAGGCAGGTTAGACAGTTGTATTCTGTTTTATAGTTCTCTCTGTAAGTTTATTTTACATGGATATAGCCCTATCTATTACATGAGCAAAGTCTAAACAGCTCTTCCATTGATAGATTAGGAGGAATTTAGCCAAATCATTCCTCCATAAATGCTTTCTATGTAGTCATTCAAGAGGCTCTTCAGATTCATTTCAAATTCATTGGAATAATGAGTCTGAAGGCCTAAATTCATTCACTGAATCAGCACCTGAAAACTCTTGTCTGCTATCCCTCTTCTGAGCAAACAGTCTCAGCCTCAACACCCTTGTTCTGGATTCTTTTTTGCAGTTTGAATGGTTTGTTACAGCAATAAACAGGGAGTGCTTTGGATTTCTGATTAATTGAGGTTGCATTTGTTGCACATAATCTTTTTTATAACACTTATATTTGTTAATGAGTACAGCGGAGGAATCTGTCAAAATTAGTTATGCATTGATGTTAAATTCAAGTTTAGAATAAGTGTGAATTGTGTAGCCTGGTTAAATTATGAATTGACATTTATCATCTGCCATCCTATCTCTTACATGGAACAGAAGAGATTAAGTAGATCCATACTTTTAGACAAGATTAAGCAATGTTTTTCTGTTAATCAAGTACCTTATGACCACCTTTTAATAAAAATCTTTGCTTTGATCAGGATACAGAGCAGCAAGCAGACTGCAGCTACCAGAGGAAATATGGTAATTACTTGTACTTTTTCTCTTGGGCAAGGTCCATGAATCTAAGGACTTTCTCATATTAATAAGCAGAATTAACAGTCTGGAAATAGAATAGAGAAAAATTGTATCTTTCCTTTTCACTTACCTTTGCCAGTTGTTCATGAATTTCTAATAAGCTTGGTCTGTTGAGCTTATTCCCACTGACGCTGCCAGTGTTTCTATAATAATCAATTTTGGGAACTGGGTCCATTGTGTTATGGCCAAAAGTTTGTAGATAATACATTTTAGTGTGAGTATCATAGGGATGTAAACTAGCTTCTGTTTTCTCTGCATTTTGAAGGAAATTGTCATATAATTCTCTTTTTCCTGGTCTGTAACTGATTCTCAGTCTGTTCTGGGTTTCATCAGTAAAAGATGTTTCTTCATAATGTGGTGGGTCAGAGCCCACATCCTCTTGGGCTGTTTCGTTGTTGTCATGGCCTTCATTAATTATGTTGACTTGAAACCGATTTGCATTTGGATCCGAGAATACATTTGGTGCATTGTTCATGGACATCTTCAGGGATGCTGCAGACTCAGGTCACTGAGCCCTTTACTCTTCTGTGGCTGCAGCCAGTTAGTAGCAGCTACAGCAAAGGGTTTACTGCTGTTTCATATGAAATCTTTGCTCCTCGAGTAATGAAGTTCTGAGAATTTTCTCTTGAATGTCTAAGCAGTCTTCCTAATGTTGTCTGCTGTTTTTCTGCTATAAAAGATATAAATAAAACATTTCTGTTATCATGCATGGTTAGATACATTTTCCACCGTAAGCTCTCCCTGGCCTCACTAAGTATCCATAAGACTGTCATCCTATGACTTGTTGACTAAAAAAATAGTTGAGTCAAAGACTGAGTTTGTGGAGATGTTTCCATCTGTGACGGACACACTTGACCCCTTAACCAAACCAGCAGTAGTTTGGTACAGGCCTGAGTGCTAAATGGGTCAAAAACTCCTCTAGTTTCAATCTGTTTTATGGAAACCCAGAAAGGAGCAGGGTGACACAGTGAGCATCCAGGTATGTGGATCATGCAATTGGAACATGACCGTGCAATTAGAGCATGGAAAGCAGGGGGCTGCCTCCTCTGTAACCTGCTGCTCACCAGGTCCCTTGCAGGAGAGTTGCTCCCTGAACGATGCAGGCATTAAATCTGTCTGAGGTACAGGATTTCCATTTGTCCTTGTTGAATGTCATGAGATTCCTGTTGTCTGGTTCCTCTATCCTCTCTGGGTCCCTTGGAGTCGCAGCCCACAGAAAAGTGGACATATGTCCACAGAGAAGTGGACATACAGCTGTATAATCTCCTTCCCACCTCCACTTCCCCACACAGACCCTCATCAAAGAAAACGAGTGAGCAAACAAAAACACCAAGAGAAGAAGGGGTGTGTATATTTAAGGCCTCTAGTGGGTTAAGTACCTTTTCAGCAATTTACAGTATGGCCTAGATGGCCCTCAAATGAGCTACTGAAATGATGGCAATCCATAAATCTTGAAACATATTTCTAAGGAGATTAGAAAGTGTGGTTGTAGAGACTTGTATAATTCAGCAGGAGTCTGGGCCTGTTCAAAGGGACTAAACCAGAGCATTGCTTAGACATGGAAACTCTGCAAGTGATTGTAAAAGCAGAAAGTCTTAGAAACAAAATATGTCTTTTAAAGCAATATATGAACTGAAAATCTGGGTAAATAAGCCCATTACAGGCATTTTTTTTAAAGTTTCATGCTTTCACAAGAGGTTGGACTAGATGACCTCCTGAGATTTTTTTCAATTTAAATTTCTCAATGATTTTGTGAAATGCATTTGGCCCCTTGGCATGGAAAGATAAATACTGCATCAATATTTATAGCTCGGCATTGTAAATTTTCTCTAAAATCACATATCCAAATTATAATTTGAAGAGCTGATAATCAAAAGTCCTCCATCTTCAGTATGAGATACACCTAATGCATATTTTCTCACTTCTTCCATAAGCTATAGATAATATTCTGCTGTCACCTCTCTGCTATGATACCACTTTTTAACCCCCTCATATTTATGTTGGTTTTCCTGCTTAATGTTTTGTAAGCCTCACAGCAATGTTACATTTATTTAGTTTATTTTACTTCTGCTGTCTCTGGATTATCAATAGTGTTATTATTATTACACATTTCTGATCATAGATAGTATTCTGCTTCCTTCAGCCTTTTAAAGTTGCAAGGAAGTGTTTCATCTGCAGGCATGAAGGAGCAAAAACAAATCTTCTGTCATTAAGGTCAATGAAACTACGTTTGTTTTCATCTCCCTGACTGAATGGAATCCCAATTCTTTGATGACAATTTGCTTTGATGACTTGTGCTACCAAGTAAAATGATTCTGTCATTTCACTGTCTTATTTCCATAATATTACTGTTTTGCTAGGAAAAGTAAAGTCTCTTACCTTTCTGCTGTTCTTGAAAATAATACTTTGGTTTTCGCAATGTATTTCCAGAGGTCTCTCAACTGTTATTTGTCATTAATTTTGTGTTTAGTACGCATAAATAATCAAGTTTACCTTATTCAGGGTAATTTAACTTACCATTCAATCCTGTGTTTTTAGGGAAGGACAATCTGCCTCTTTTATTCATGCATATAGTCTGTCCCTCTCTTTGAGGCATTACAGACTCTGCCTTATTGGCCAGATTTTTCTCCTGCTTAATACACTGAATAGACCATCCAATCCCTCTCTTTCAAAACATTTCTAGATGGTGATTTAGAGAGACATTCTAGCTTGTTACAAATTAACCAGCAAATGTACCTATCCATTACAATTACTGACTTTATGGCATTGCAAAATTTCTAAGGGGGCCTGAAAATACTTTTGTTATCTCCATTTCCCTCCCAGCTATGCCAGATTCTATGCACAGATCATGTTCTCTCTGTTTTTCAGTTCTGCATATATAGTCATGCAGATAATGAGTTCAGGACAGGATCTGCTCGGTGCATTTTATGCAGAAGACATTCAGTGAAGTCAGTGGGATCAGTCACTGGGGGGTCCCCTTGTCCTACATGCAGTTTTGAACCATTTACTCCTGACCCCTTTTTAAGTTTTATTCTGTATATTTAAGGAAAACCTTTGAAAAATTATGTTCTCTGTATTCTTTCCAGGAAGGCTGACTTCCTTGTCTATTTGGGATGCAGAGAAGGGCAGGCAGGAAATGATGAAGCTTTGTAATCATAAGGGAACTTGATAATTGCTTCCAGCAATAGATTGGGTCAAGAACAAAAGTCATAAGACAATATTGGGGTTCTTTGGGTATGTTTGCTGTGTTTGTTATGTAGTTTAAAGATAACTGAGCTATATTTAACCCAGATAACTTAAGTACCTTCAGTACTCTAACCTGACAGCACAGAGCTCAGCTGTGCTGATTAGATGTACATAAAAAGAATGGCAGTGTCAGGTCTCTGCAGTGGATGATCCTATCCAGCAATAACAGATCACATGAATCATTTTACTGATATCTACCTTGGATTTTATGGTTAAATTAACTAGGATAAATGCAATATACTGAATCTCTGAAGGTCTGACATTTTTTCTTATGTACAATCTGAAGCAGTTGAAAAGTCCTTATATTCACAAAACTGTTTATGTTTTATAATTCAACTGGACCGGTGTAGATTGATGTTGGCTTTTCCTCTGTTATATTCTTCAGACAGGAGATTCATGTCCTTCCCCGTACCATCAAGTATTTCATGTTCCAAATGGCACTTGAGGTCTGCTGTTCCAATCTCTGCCTCTGCCTAGTATATAGGGCAAAAGAAATAACATGTATTTTTTCAGAATACATGAAAAAAGAAAACAGCTGCTGTAACTGATCTTCTTGTCTTAGCTCCTTGTTGCAAACAGAGCTGTTTAGCAGAAGTGACAGTGCCTAAAATTCTAATGCCAGCCTTCTTAAAAACTGAATTGAATTTCTGTCAAGTACTGTCACACTTGCTAAACAGCTGTGTATATGAGGGTGACCTTGAATATCCAGATTTGAGTCTCTGCTTTCACTGTTTCACTTCTGCTTTGATAGGATTTCCCACGACCAGTTCTTCAGTGACAGTCCAGATCATACACTGTACAAAGTTGCAGGAGCAGCAGAACCAGCTGTGGAGAGGGGCCAGAGAGTACAGAGCTCTGCAGTCAGCTCTGGACCCTTGTCCCTCTTGGGGACTGGGTACAAATGGGTAAGCAGCATGATTGTCTCTGCTTTGGCCTTGCCAAGCTGGTGTAATTATTGCTGGGAACTGTTAACCAGACAGTTTAAGTTCCAGTTTAAACTGAATCGACATTTGTAACCAAGTAGTAAAAAAATGGCAATTGACCAATTCAGCTAGAGTTAGATTGGTTACTTAACATTCAATTTTTCTCTTCCACTTAAAATTTTTAACAATGTAGGAGATGCTGGGGGACTGGGACTGTGGTGATGTTGATCTGGATTGGAGTTCTCAGCAGGTAATATATTTTGTATGGCTGAATGTTTGTAGTATCAAAAATTTCCTTAATGATGTTTGTTTCCCTTCCACTAATTCTGCTTGAGTTTCTGTTGCTGTAGATTGGGAGATCTATCAAAAAATACTCATGTGAGTTACACAGTGTTTGCAAAGGACCACATCAAGTTTTCCCAGAGAAGCAATGTACTTTCCTCATAACCAGTCAGTAGTAGAGCACCTGCTCTTCTTGGAAGGTGAGAGATGAGTTAGCAACTGATGTGATCTCTGGTTATCCCATTAGTTTCTTAATATTGGTAGTATGTGGACTAGCCCTTGCTCCTCTCACCTCAGCAACACAGACACACACCTGTTGCAGGCACCTCCTCAACATTTGTTGTCCTCCACTTTTGTATTCTCAGTGTACAAGCACAGACTACGAGTTTCAGAAAATTGTGTCAGATGAGGAGGGGAGGGTGTTACCATTTAAACATGCACCATTCGTGAGCCTGTCTTTTGTGTTATTCATCTTTTGCTCCAGCCTATCATGAGACACAGTAGAAATGACATCCTTCTCTGAAGAAGCAGATATCATCTCTTAAAATACTGGCCATCATCACTTTCTATTGAATTATTGTAGTATTTGTTTTCTGTTAACCATTTCTTACCTACCATTCCACTGTTTGGCAAATAAAAGCAACGTGAAGTGCCTTTTGAGTTTGCAACAAATATTTATTTAACAAAATGGATGCCACCAACATATCTCCAAAATGCGGGTATGTATAACAAATGTAACAACAGTTGGTTTCCAAAATGAAATCAACATCAAATTTAAGGCAGGATATTCTGTGAGTTTTCATGCAAGAGCATATTCAAATGTTCCTTTATCCAACCCCTCAACTTCATCTTCCCATGTAGAAGAAGGCATACTACTGTAGGGGTCTAGCAAGATTTTGAAGCATCGGATAATTAGAAGTCCCAAGAAAACACACAAAATCCCCACAAAGGCAAAGCCAGTTTTTTGCTCTAGAGTCAGAGGGAAGGCAGACATTTCGTTGACACTCATGCTGGCTGAAGTGTTGCTGCAGTAATTACTGCTCATCATTGGGCATCACATCCTGGTGACTCTGTGGGGTTTTCACCTCTATTGCTTCTTTGCCTGCATAGAAAAGTCCAATCAGTGTGGTTAGGTCTAAATGGGATGCATGTATCTAAGCTGTAGTATATGAACATTTGGAAATGAAAACCAGCTTGGATTTTAGCAGTGTCCTGTTGTTTTTTCACGTTTAAATTAATATGAAAAAATTGCAACTTTTAGCCTCTACACACCATCCACTTACTGGCCTCTGTTATGAGACAGCAAACTCACAATTTTCTGCCTTTCTGTCTCCTCAAAACAGAAATTTCAGCACATGGCTGTTGCAAATAGTATTTTGTCAGACTGGGCACAAGTCTACAGATTCTGATTTGGCAATACTCACCGAGGTCTCCACCTGGAGAAGCCAGGTATATTTTCTGAAATGGCTTTAAATCTCTGTCCTTAAACTAGTTAAACTTGCATTGACCTCAGAGGCAATTTCAACCAAATAATATGGATTTTGCCATCTGATTTAGATCATGAGTCTGAATAAATAGATCCAACTTGTAAAAGAAACCACTGTGTGTGCAATTTTAGTGAAGTCTTGGTCCCCAGTTTCAGAAAAAAAGTCCTGTGTATTTGAGCTTGTAAGAAAGTGAGCATATTGATAAAATTACCCCTTCACCTTTCTCAATACATGTCCACTCTTGTGTATGAGGAAAGATTGGTGGGAGAAGAGATAACAGAATTAAATTCCCTTCCCTTAAATCTTGCTCTCATTTTTTTCTTCTTCTTGGTCTTTGCCTTAAATACATACATATCCTGCCATTTTTACAGGCATAGGAAACAGCAGGTCTGAAATCCCTCCTGATGTTCCTCAGGGGGCTGACCCTGATGTGTGTCCTATGGAGGGCAAGAGGCTCAGGCAACTCCACCCTGCCACTGCCACCAGGAGAGCTCTGTGCGTTTCCAGGCAGGTGAAACTTTTTATTTCTGTCTGTTTAAGGAGATCTTATGTATAGATTTTAATTGGGGGTGGAGATCGTTTTGCTTTATCTTAGGTTTTCCATCAGATATTAGAATCACATCTTTCTTTTGTACCTATAGACAGCGGGAGATTTGGAAGGACTGGGACATCAAAAGCACCAAAGGACAAAGGCACTTTTATTCTGAGGTTAGAGCTTGAGGTTTCCTGCCTCTTGCTAACACCTATTTAACGAACGTGCCTCAGGGAAAAACTCTTTTTGTTAACGGTTCAACCATCTTTTTCCCCAGGGAATTACCAGTATCCATTTATTTCTTGGCAGAGTAATTAGGCCACTCAGAGCTCTGTGCTGCCATGGCTACACTGCTTCAGGTACCTGCACAGCTAAGCCAGGTTAAAGGGAGCTCTGGTATCTGTGTGCTGCAGTCATGGCTGACAGTAGCCATACCCTACAAAAAAAAGGCAAAAATAAGATTTGGTGTTCCTGAGCAGACAGAAATGGACAGAACTTTTATCTTCTTTGGTGTCTCCTTTCTCACTTCAGAATTTGTGGGATTTTTGACTAATTATCCTATAAAGAATAAAAATTTTAAAACAAAGGTTAAAAGGGCAAGACACAAGTCTTTTTCTTTTTGCAATAAACCTCAATGTAGTAGATGTTAAATAATATGTTTTCCTATTACTGTCTTTACATGTGTGCCAGAGCATAACAATCAATGTTCTGTTTATTCTGTAGAGCTGTGTATGAGATCCTTCCTTGTTTTGAATTATATTCTGCTCTTTGGGTCACAATGTTTTAATTCCTGTTAAGCTGGAGAAAAGATCCAGATATATCCTATTGGAATTAGAAATAATGTCAACAACAAGCAATATTTATTTTCTGAAAATGTATCATAGGTAAAGCCCACCTGCTATATGGATTTTCATTGGGCATACTTCCAATTTTTCTATTAAGTTTGACCTTCTGCAGGGAAAAAAAAATCACAGAAAGTTCAATATCACAAATTTATGTCACAAATCAGTTGATTTGAACAAGAGCCAATCAAGGAAAAAAAATTACTTTCCAGAAGTCATAGGACACTGGGTTATAAAAATTAAATTTAAGGCTTATACTGGAAAATTATATGTAGCCACTGCCTGGAAAAGCCAGACCCAAAACTCCCCAGTTGCTACCTTGAAAGACAGAGAGAAAAATCTTAGCAATAGGCTGGCTGTGGAGAACCCTGCATCTGAGCTGAGTGCAGACAAATATGTTTGTGTTTGACATGACATTTCTTCACCATAGAGAGTCCTTTTCCAAGAATATGACTTCCAGTCTTACTAATTTTGCAGGTTACACACTGGAATTAATGGGATTTGTTTGTACATTATGTGCTTGTCAGGAGACACTATGCAACAGATCTCTGTGCAAAGCTGGACTGATGCTGAAACATGGAAAAATATATCTTAGTCTTATCCAACAAAAGTTTGGCTGAAAGAGCCGCCTGAGAAAACACCATGCATTTTGCTGGGGGGGGGGATTGGTTCTGGGAAACTCTAATGTGCAGCTTTGTGTTCTTCTCCTCCTTGTCCTGAATTTCAGAAATTGTAATTGAAGCCTCCATGTTCACAGGAAATTTTGCTCTAATTATGTATCCCCAAAACTGTGGTAGCTCGTCTGACCTTGGTGCCTTTTTTATTGTTTCCACACTGTAGTGCTGCACACAGGTTTGATGTCCTCTCCCAGTTAGTCTGATACCCTGTCATTTGCTGCAGAGTATGTGTCAAGTCCTGAGTCAGAAGACTGAATGCTAACTAACGTGGCCTGGATCCAAAAATCTTCAAAGACAGCCTCTAGAAAAGCGTGATGGGGACAGGCATTGTATCAGTTAGAATCTGCAGAGCCGTTTTGTGGGGGCTGGCCCCAGACTGAGCTCGACTTTTTTTTTTCACAGGTGAAGACTCTACTCCTTGGAGTTGCCTGTATAAAAACACTGGCAAAAAGAAAGGCTCCTTAACATCCTGCTGTGAAATAAAAGACCATTGGAAGCCCTTCTGAGGCCAGAATAAACCATAAGAGTCCTAAAGAAAATAGGAATGAGGAAAACAGCTTAGATATAGACCACTGAGGTAAGAAGAACAGAGGTATAAGCTGGGTGTGCTGGCTGCACGTATGGGGGGACGGTGAAGGGGAACACCATGGGTACTCAGTATTGTGAGGCAGCTGGAAGAAAGATGTTGAAATGCTTATCCTAGGAGCATCACCAGCCCAACTCTGCCAGTGTTTGGTGTTGATTGAAGATCCTAGCTCCAGTTCTTTGGTGATTTGGGGTGACAGGGTGCCACTTTTTTCAGACCTAGCCTTTACTCGTATGTCTACAGAGAATCTGAGAAGATTAAGAAAGTAGCCAGAATAATCCTCCTTGTATTTTGGGTTTCAGTCCTTCTCTCACAGAACCCCCTATAGGATTTGTTTTCCAATGGCTCGGTACTGGAAAGGAGTAAGTATCTTTACATGGTCTCAAGCTGGGAGCATTCATCCTCTTGGCATGATTAAACCTCAGTTGCCTGAAAACCCACTTCATAAACGGTAGTGTGCAACAAAATGGACCAAATCAGTGGCCATCTGTTCACCTCTTGGATGTCTGCAGCCCAGCTGCTGTTTCATGGATGTGGTCATTCTCAAAGTACTTCTAATAGCTTCAGTCCCGAGCTTGTGTTTGAGTAAGAACAAACCTAACTTGAAAACGTGGTGGTGTGGTTAGGGACATTTAAACAGTTTTGGAAGCACCTCATTTGCACTAAACTATCTCTTTAGGGAAACTGAACTGTATTCCAGAAATGCTATCAGAAAAATTAGGCATAGGAGGTGGTAGGATGAAAAGACCAACAATGGAGAAGTCCTAATGAAATAGAAATTTGAATGAACGTGGAATTCTCCAACAGGCCTGAGCTACCTGAGTTGATAACACACGGCCAGAAATGCTGCAAAAGCCATGCTGTGACCACACAGCCAACCTCTCATGCTCATGTGCACACTGCATGCCTGTATTCTCTAAATTGCAGAGGAGAAGACTGTCTCTTCAGGGTTCTAAGACAACATACAGGGAGGTGAAGGTAGGAAGGCCAGGGCATGGATGCCCAGCAAATGAAGGCATGGCTCACTGTTCTGCAAGGAGAGCAAAGCCCCACACAAGCAGTGTTTTTGCAGCGTGGTAACTCAGGGTGCAAGCAACACTTTTCCACTTAAACAGCATTCCCCTGCAAAGAAGCAGCAGCCAGACAGTGACACCTCCATCCTTCCAACAAGCAGTGAATTGCAGAAATGAGATTTTATCCTTAGCAAATACACCAGCCTGGAGTCTCCATTGGACAGGAGGTCTTGTGCTGTGAATTCATGTATGTAGTCTAGATTTCGATAATACAGTGATGCAGGAAAATAAAACGCTCATTAGCATCATCCTTAACTTGTGAACGTGGAAAAGTGTTGCCTGCTTCCCTGGGGACGGAGGCTGCGAGAGACCGAGCACCTGCAAAGCAATTGTTGCTGTAGGATTGCGTGCACAGCCTTCGCTTTCCCGGCCCCGCTATCCAGGGAGGGCAGATTTAGGCTCTGCCCCTGCCCCTGCCCCTGCTCCCCCCTCCGCCCCCGGTGCCTCGGTCCCCCCGCCCCGCTGGGCCGTGCGGGCCGGGCCGGGCGGCGCCGCAAGGTCAGAGCCCGCCGCCCGCCCGCCGGTGCCGCCCGCGGTACCCACCCGTGTCCTCCGCGCCCGCGCTGCCCATGGTGGCGGAGCGCGGAGCTCCCGCGGCTCCGGGGCCGCCTCGCCGGCTGTCGAAAGCCCAGGTTGGAGTCCCGACGGCTCCGGGCACGGGGTGGTCCCGGGCGGCGGGGGGGCAGCTCGCCCTTGCTCCCCTCGCCGCCCGGCGATGCGACCCCGCCGGGAGATGCTCAAAGTGCCCTAATTAAAAAATTAAACACGGCCGCTGCTGCTACCGCCTCCTCCTCCACCTCCCCGCCCGCCCCCTTCCATCGCAATTCAGCCGCGCTCCTCTCCGGCCCCCCTTTGCACGGATTAGACCGAGGAGCGTGGAAACTTCCTGCAAAACCCTACGTGCGGTGCATCGGTAAGGGCCGGGCCGGGGCCGCTGCGGAGCGGGCGGGAGCAGCGCTCCCTCCTCCGCTCCGCTCCCGCCGCCCAGGCCGGGACTGAGTGTCCCTGCAGCGATGGGGGACCGGGCTGCGGTACCTCCCGGGCCGGGAGCGCCGGTACCGGGCGAGCAGCGCAGCCCCGCCGCCGGCGCGGAGCGGGACCTGTGGAGCCGCGCTGGGTACGGCGGGGCCGCTCTGCTGCCGTGGAACTGCGGGCAGGGGCTGACACACTGATCTGAGCGGGCCGTGGGGACCTGAAAGCCTCTTAGGGCTGCGCCCGCAGAGTGGACTCGGGTCCTCCCAATATCTCCAATAGTAATAACGATTAAAGCCTAAGCCTCTCTTTATACCCTTTCATTAGCTGCGTTTAGTTGATGGTGGTTGTATATTAGAGGCTTCCATTTGCCACTACAGAAGGTGTTTAAGGGTGGATTAGGAAAGAAGATTCATTTTCCCAAAGCTGGATCTGTATTTATTGCATTAATAAATGGCAAATCTGTTTTAAAGGATAGTGATTCCATTTTTGTACACCATCCTGCAGGGATGCACGTTGGTCAGTGGAACAGGACTGTATCACTCTGATATACATCATGAGACTTTTGAGACTACTGCAGACCTGCTAGCAGAATTGTTGTGTAGAAAACTATTTTAAAACTCCTCATGCTTCTCACTACATGTAATAACTCTAGGATAGGTTAAACCTTCTTCCTGATATGATCTGGGAAAAAAGGGGTTTGCGTTGCCTGCCATTTTACTGCCTGATTCCTCTGTCGTATCAGCAGTGGACTTCTAAGCATTGGGTAGAGTCAAAATACAGACTTCTCCTGCAAACAGAACTAATGGTTAAACCGATGGGTAACTACGTACTTGCTAATGGTTATTAGTTTGATCTTCTAATGTTGCAGCATCAGTCATGTGGTAAATAATCTCTCTTGCTGAAATTGTAAGTCAAGCTAATTTTTGAAGTGCCTCTCATATTTGAAGATCCATGAAGACTTTATAAATAGATAGTTTTAAATAGTATAAGAATGTGCTTTCAGATAATGTATATAAAGAGCCTCTACTGTTCCTAAGGAGCTCTAGTTTTCTTTTTTAGTCCTGTCCCTGATCTACTTGAGGGCCCCATGAAGGTCTCACTAGATGGAAACAGCTGTGGTTTGGGATTTTGGGAGTATCAAACACAAGGTCTGAGAATTTCATGGTACCCCCTTCAATCTAGCACAACTGTTAAGGGAGAGTAACATAAATCCAGGCTTTTCCAATAATTGTTGAGCATTGCTATACTTGGAGAACTTTACTGGAAGTAGGTCTTGGGAGTAGCCAGGACGAATATGTCTGCTCTCTCTGGTAATGAGGGACAATATTGACAGTAGAAACAAATAATTTTGAGCAGATGTGTCTTTTCTCTTCTGTCAGAATTCGGGCATTGACGCTTGGCCTTTCACTACCATTTTTTCTGGGAAAAGTTTACTTGTGGGATCTTACTCCTTATAGGTGTGATATTATCCTTTTGTTTTGTTATTCTTGTAGGATTAAATGTTGAGGTTTTTTTAACACTGAAATAGTTACCCCTCTTGTACTATGACATGGCAGAGGCTGCTGAAATAGAGTAATTATTTCTAGGAATCTGACACTCATGTTCTATTTTAAAGACTTTTCTTTTGGTTTTATGTATTGGAGATCCACTTTTCATGGAAATAAAACTGGAAAAGAAACTAGCAGCCAGCACCAGGGAATGTGTCTCCCTCTTCAGCTACCAGTTGTCAGCAAAGCAGCACTGTTTTTCTCTTCGGTGTACGTGACCCATACTGGGTACATAGACAAAGGCCGTGTTCACTATTCTTCATTTTCCATTTCTTTGTCAGGCTCCATCTTTTTTGTATTCACCAGAACAATAACTATCACTTCCATCTGACTTCAATCATATTTGCTGTTAATTTGATCCTACTTTAGGGAGTGTTGTATTTCCTCAAAGGAGAGCCCTTGATCAGACATAGAGATTTTATAATCATCTGGTAATTTGTTACTTTGATCTTCCAAATTCAACTGGCCTAATTTAAGGTTGAGCAAGTGGGTGCCAATGAGTGAGAAGCAATAAGGAACTCTTAGAGCTGTTAGCTGGTTAATACTTTTGATGTTTAAGGATCACTTGAGTGGTGTAGGTGTTAAGAAAATATAACTCCTTTGAGGGATAACTAACTCCATTGTAACTTGCTTTTCAGTTTAGCTTTAAACAGCTCTTTGAGTGTTCCTTCCCAAGCAAACTCTCCCTTCAACTGCTAGAAATTTTAAATGGGCTGAAGTGGGCAGAGTCAGTGAATAATATAGTGCACAGAAGAAACAGATCAAGTTGAAACTCCCCTCCTAAGCAAATTTAAGCAAGTTTTTCAGAATATGTATAATCAAAAAGCAATAGTAAGTAGGGGATATAAAAGCAGTAATAGAGGGGCACAGCAGAAGTATGTGAGGATTATATATTAGTTTATGTATTGATCACAGTAACAAGTGGGAATTATCTTAAGTAATTTAATTCAGGGTTATTTAACTTTTGTTCTACCATGGTTTTTTTCTGTAATATTTAAAGATCTGAATCTCTCTTTGTGCTTGCCTAAAGGCAAGGTACTGACTTCACCAGAGACATAAATTAATCTACAGCCCTGTGAGCCTGTAGGGTACTCCTTTGGTGACTGCCAAGAATGAGGCAGAAAAACAAGTCCTACAAAGCGGTCTCCCCATGTTAAATGTCTGAGTAGGCCCACTCTTCAAATAGGAAAAGTGTAGGGATTCAGAAACTGAAGAAGGTTGAAAATCACCACTTTGAAGTCCAACCCGTGTTAGTGTGGGCAAAGGTGGAAGAGGGAATGCATACAGTGAAAATCAACAGTGCCACCTTGTGTGGGTGGGACAAGAGAGTTCGGCCATGAGGAGGGCAACTGGCCCCAGGTGTGTCTCCAGCTTCTTCACCCCGGGATTGGGGCAAGCCCCTGGCCAACTAGGGAGAGGGCAAAGGGAAGGATGGGTTCTTCTTAGATCTGCAGGAGGTAGGTGTTTACTGCCTCACTATGAAAAGCAGAGCTGGTGGGTATGTAAGGGGCACTCAGCCTGACAGTGTGGAAGGAAGGACATGTTGTGGAAGGAAGGACCAAAGCACAAGCAGGTTGCTTAGTTATTTTCTTTTGTAACTTCAGCAACTAGAATAATGTCTGAGGGAAGAGAGAGTGAGTTGTTTTAATATAGGACCAGTAACAGTGCTACCAAAAATCTGGTGTTATGCAGCCTTTTAGGGGTAAAAACCAGGTGATTAAGATTTAGACTCCTAAGCTGCGGGCAAGGGTTGCATAACACCAAAAAAAATTTTATGAGACTTAGGAGGATGTAAGCCTTCCATGAGAGACAAAGAAGTTAGACCCCTGCAGATCAAGTAGAGCAGGTCTCCTCTGTGACTGATCCCACGTTGTTTCTCGGACTAGGAAGATAATGTTTAATTGCAAAGAGAGCATTTGGGAAAGATTGTTTTACTCCAGGTGCATTGTAAGTATGCAAAAAAGGGTGCCACTTGCAGAGTAGGGTTATTTTAATTTTTTTTAGCACAAAATAAAACAGTGTAGGTTGGTTGCATCCTTAGGCAATGCAGACTGGTCTGGAACTACTTGTGTCTGTGCAAAAAGGAATCTTTAAATAAGCTACAAAAGTCAAATGATTTACAAAGTGAATCTGTTGTTAAAGCAACCCTTCTCCAGCTGTACTCAAGGCTTCTTGGAGAGGGGACAGGGTCTGGAAAATGCTAAGCACATTTAGGAGCCACAGCAACAAAACCAAGAAAAATTATGTGTGATGTATTTACCATACAGGCATCATATAGGTAAGAACAATGTCTGCTTGAAAACAGTAATTTACAAAAAAAAAAAAAGTTATATGGATTTAAGACCTATGAGGCTCAGAAGTCCCATTTTCTGAAGTTCCATACAAACTGACTTTCAGGAACATAGAATATTTTTTAAAGTTCCACCTGATGAAAGTGTTGATGAACTGCTTTTGATCATGACTTAACTGGAAATAAAATTAAAACTAACATTGAGATAAACCACAGACCAATTAAAATGGTCCTTTCTAAAAGGATGATACATATTTGTTCATTAGCAAATTGAAAGCAATGTGTTCTTTGTCATTGAGGACTTGAGACTTGAATTTAGTAACAGACTGGAGTTACTGTTTTGAAAAGAATGGTGATACTTAAAACACATGTAATTATTTTAGCTCTGGAACTACTACTTGTACAAGAGACTTCCAAGAGTAGTTGATTTACAGTTGCTTATATTTTCATATATATGCAAGAACATTAATAATATTCCATTATCCTCAACTCCATGTGTGAATCAGTGCTGTCAACTCTCTGCTTGCCAAGAATAAACAGCCATTACGCCATACACCCTCCCTACAACTGAGAGACACTGTTTACATGAGGGGATGACGAGAGGAATTTGTTAGGACAGCAGACCAAGAACACTTGTAGCAGTGCTGTACTAAATGAGGGATACCCTTGTAACAGGAACATTCCTCAGAAACCTCGTCCGTCTCCTGTAAGGACATGAACAAGGGCAGAAGAGATGTTGAAAGCCCATATATCAAATGATAATTTTAAAATATTCCCAGGAGGGATCAGTAGTGTGTAACAAAGGAGACTTTCTCAGCACAAATACAGGCATGGAAAGACAATGGTTTTCCTTTTTTTTTACTTACTATGCTAAGTAGTTTTTTTAATTTTTTTTTTTTATTTTTATTTCAATCATTTCATATTCAGAAGTCTTCCTAGGAAAAAGCTTAAACATTTTTCAACACACTTTTGTAGACCAAAGAAATCCCACTTTTTAATCCCAGTTTACCCCTTGTCAGATCTCTAACAGCTCTTTGTTGTATTGTTCTCCCAATTTTGTTAATATTCTTTGAAGACAGAAATACTGAGTGATTATGTGTGAGACTTGTAGAAAAGGAAGCAAGACTCCCATAAAAATTCTAACACAGGCAACTGACCTAAACAGGATGCTGTAAATCGGAGTTGGGGTGCAAGGGGGACAGGGCAAAGCTGGTATCACTCCTCCAGGCTTCAAGCTAAACTATGCCCCAGTGCAGCTCTGATACAAAACACCTCTTCATCTCTGGATGTGTATGGATTGTACAGTTCTGAATATTTATTGCAAAACACATTGTGTGACACCTGAGTTTACTGTGTGTGTGCTGGGCTGTGGTGGGTTGACCTTGGCTGTGCCCAACAATCCGCTCTACCACTCTCCTCCTCAGCAGCATCGAGTTACAGAAAATAAGATGGAAAAAAACTTATGGATCAAGATAAAGGCAATTGAATAAAGCAAAGGCCGCATGTGGAAGCAAAGGAAAGCAGAAGATTTATTCTCTACTTTCTGTCAGCAGGCAATGTCCAACCACTTCCTGGGAAGCAGAGCTTCAGTACCCACAGCAGTTGCTCCAGAGGACAAATGTCATAATGAATGGCCCCTATTCCCCCTCCTTCTTCTTGACTTTTCTTCCTGAGCAGATGTCATACAGTATGGAATATCTCTTTAGTTAGTTTGGGTCAGCTGTCCTGGCTATGTAACCTCCCAAAATCTTGCCCACCCTTAGCCTACTGGTGAGGCGGGAATGTTGGAGATACAGCCATGATGTATCCCAGCAAACTCTGGGATACACCTTTCCAGCTACCAGGACAGAGGTATTGGTACATGAGGGCTGCTGGGGGGAAAACTAACTCCATCTCAGGCATACCCATTGGCCCAAAAGGTACACAAACTTGAGGAGGTAGCAGCTGAAATAGCCAGTAGGTTATTTGGAACAAGTAGGCATAAGAACCTCAATAATTCTTCCTGTTACTAACATCCATGGGCCTGTTGGCATAGGAATTATGTCAGCTGCTTCGTGCTATAATACTGAGTTAGGGAGTATAGGATTCCAACACTTGAGATGCTTTGTACAAAGCACAGTTGAACAGAGGTCTGGTACCAGGGTTTAGTAACCTGAACATGGGAATTACTGCCCTTCATCCTGTAGTAGTGAGAGCTGTAAAATGTAATGACAGCAATAGCAAGTAAACATTAACTGTTTCAGTGATGATTGTTATCGGAAATACCAAGATACTTATTTAATTATGGTTAATGTGTGAACAGAATTACATGTCTTATCAGACCCCTGGACATGCCTTTCTACCTTCATCTGGGATGTAGGTTATTGGGGTATTTCTTAGTATCTTTGAGCTTTCTCAGAAATCTCAGATGTTACCTGCTGTGACAGTCATGAGGACAGGCAAAAGAAAGTGCCAGCATCTCATGAGGAGTTTATTTCCAAAACCCACATTAGTCCAGGTCAGTGGGTCAGCAACCAGAAGCCACTGATCTAAATTCATTGCAGAGGATTGAATGGCTTTCTTTATATAATAGATGTTTATATACTATTTGGAAATACCCTTTGGAAATGCTTTTGTACTCATAGTTAGTGAAATGATTAAACATTGTCCAAATGATTAATGTTTTTACTTCTTCTAAAAATGTTGCTTAAAACCTATTGTTTTCCCCAAGAGACAAACTGGAATTGAAGAAGCCAAAGGAATTTGAGAGTAATATATTGCAGATTCTACCTCATAAGTAAATGAATGTCTTAGAGGACGAATGCTAGAGAATGCAAAATGTTTAGTACTGTGTGTGTGGCACAGACCTATGTGATTTTAAAATTTTTTAGTAGAATTACAGCTATTCATATTTAATTGTTTTTTATAGGATGATGATGATGATGATAATTATATAAATATATAAATTGGTTTTTATAAGAATAGAACAAATTGCCATCGAGAAGCTTCCAATGCTCTAACTAAAACTGAATGAGCGAGGTGACTGCCCCACTCTGCTCTGCACTGGTGTGGCCTCACCTTGAATATTGTGTGCAGTTTTGGCACCACAATATGAAAAAGACATTAAGCTATTAAGCTATGAGAGAGCATCCAAAGGAGGACAGGGAGGATGGTGAAGGGTTTGGAGGGGAACGGCCTGAAAGCTGAGTCAGGGAAGGTTTAGGCTGGATATCAGGCTCATCCCCCTCTGCTCACACTGGAGACACCACACTATGAATCCTGTGTTCAGTTTTGGGCCCATCATGACAAGAAAGACATTGAGGTGCTGGAATGTGTCCAAAAAAGGGCAACAAAGCTGGTCAAGGGTCTGAAGCACAAGTCTTGTGAGGAGCAGCTGAGGGAGACGGGGGTCTTCAGTCTGGAGAAAAGGAGGCCCAGGGGGACCTTATCCCTCTCCATAACTCTCTGAAATGAGGTTGGAGGCAGGTGGGGGTTGGTCTCTTTTCTCAAGAAACAAGTGGTAGGATGATAGGAAATGGCCTCAAGTTGCACTGGGGGAGTTTAGATTGAATATTAGGAAAAATTTCTTCATGGAAAGGTTGCCAAGCACTGGAACACACTGCCCAGGGAAGTGGCAGAGTCACCATCCCTGAAGGGATTTAAAAGACGTGCAGACGTGGTACTTGGGGACATGGTTTAGCGATGTGCTTGGCCGTGCTGTGTTAATGTGTGGACCCGATGACCCCAGTGATGGTGTCTGTGATTCTGTGACTCAGCGGAGGTGCCTGACGCGAGGCGCCCGCCCCACGACGGCCATGGCGGCCGGGGCCGGGTCTCCATGGCAACGCGCAAAGCCTCGGCGCGCGCGTCCCGGCCGCTCCCCTCCCCCGGCCGCGCGCGCCGCTCTCGCGAGACTGGCCGTGGCGGCGGCGAGGCCGAGGCGCTCGGGGCCCGTTTCAAACCGGCGGTCGCGGGGCCGCGGCCCGGCACGAGATGGCGGAGAGCGACAGGGTCGAGGCGGCCGCGCCGCGCAGGGCCGAGGAGGCGGCCGGGCAGCAGCCCCCGCAGCCGCAGCAGCAACAGCCGCCGCCGCCGCAGCAGCAGCAGCAGCCGCAGCAACAGCCGCCGCAGGATGAGGAGGCGGCGGCGGCGGCCGCGGCGCCCGGGAGCGGCGCGGGCAGCGCTAATGGCGTCAAAATGTGTGTGAGGGCAGCGCGGGGCAGGGCCGGGCGGGCGGCGGGGGCAGCGCGGGCGGGGAGAGGCAGCCGGACCCCCCCCAGTGCTCCGGGCTCCTCCCCCGCGGGGCCGGGGCACCGCCGGGGCTGGGGGCCCTTCCTGGCCCGGGGAGCGCGGGGAGGCCGCGGGCCGGGCACGGGCACGGGGGGGCGGCGGCGCTCGGGCAGCGGGCGCGGGGGCTGGGCCCTGTGGGGCCTCCCCGGCGGGCAGCGCTGCGGGACCCGTTTCCAGGGGTGTCCGCATCGTTTCTGGTGCCGGTCACGTTTCCACTTGTGGCCGGAGCGGTGTGTTCTGTGGAGCCGTTGAACTAGTCTTTGTTTACGTGAGGCTGGTAAGGCAGCCCTGTAGTGATTTACTTTCTAGAAACAAAAACCACACATGCGTGCACGAAGTTTGCTTGTAAATTGTAACATTTTTATACATGGAGTATGCAGATTCTTGTCTGAAAGGAACATAGTATAAGGGAGCTGGAACTACCAGCTCTCTGGAACAATACCATGAATAACTTTTTTTGTGAGCGGTTGCTCTTGATACCAGGCTTTGAGGGTTGTCACTCTTTACATGAACTAGGTTTTGGCCTCACATCATTGGAATTTCCATATCTCGTTTAATCTCATTCAAACCTTGGAGGGAAAATGGATTTATAGTAGACTTACTGTTGCAGTACATCAAAGCTGTTGAGGTCTGTTAAGTTTTGACATGTTCCAAGCAGCCCAGCTCTGATACTGTTGTGCTTAAAAAATGCATGAGGGACCAACTTCAATATAAAGCTGGAGGAATAAAGGCATACTTCATGCCTTTACTTGACTCCCTGTGAAATTTAGTTTAGTTTACAAGTTATAAATTTCACATTACTATAAAACAAAAGTTGTGGTTTTGCTTTTTTCGCTCCTCAGTCTGGCCCTCAGCTTCCAAACTACACAGATTAGAATTGAATTTCCACAGGAAGATTGTCACCCTTTTGCTCCTTTTAGGTGTATAAATTTTATTGCTCTTTTGGAGTTGCTGCTGTTGAAGTAATGACTTAATTTCTCTGTATACCTCCTGTCAGCAATGTCTTCCTTTCCCTCCAAAACCTCCCAAGCAAATGAAAAATCCCAGTCGTTCCATGTAGTAGAAATCACAACTTGAAGTGTGAAAGTAATGCAGAGTTCTTGGTGACAGAGATACAAATCTTGTTCTTTCACATGCAGTTTCTAGTCTTCCCCAAAACAGGTGTAGGAAGGATTAAGGTGTCAGTGGGCAGGTGAAATGTACTACTTAAAAAAAAAATAATCAGTACCTGGTTTGATTAGCACTCATTAAATTGGAAAGGAATCCTGGTCTCAACATGCACACTTCCATAAGTTTATTGTACTGAGCAGTGGGAACTGTTCCACACAACAAAGCTGTGCTTTGGAATCACATGTTGTGAACTTCTTGCATTTCTGTCTCTTCTGATCTTACTGTGGACACTTGTGAGCAGAGAAGTAGAAGTTTGGTTTTAAAAGATCAGCTTTTAGGGCTTTCATGTTGGTGTATCTTGTGCTTATTATTTTTTAGGCTGCTAGTTTTGTTTGTGGAAACCTTGTCTTTTGTTTCCAAAACTTAAAGGAAAGTTCAAAAGCTTTTTTTTTTTTTTAAATAATTGTAGATTTTTTTTTCCAATACTGGAAATTTGCTCTTGATTTCAAAGGCAAATATTAATTAAATCTGTAAAATGTGTAGTTCATACAAAAGGTGAAGACTAGAAATTACTATTGTTTTTCCCTCAAGAAAATATCAAATCACAGAGTCTGAGGCTGTCTTTTCTGTGGTCTGTAGGTGACTAATGTGACATTACTTTGTATTATTTGATTGAAATTATTTTTAATATTCAAGGAGGAGGGTCAGAGCTATAAAAGGATCTCTGCCTCCAGCTTGTTCACTGGCCTGTGTTGATCTTGGCAGATGAGTTTTGCAAGAAGAATCGTTTCTTTAATTAATCCTCTATTTTCAGGAGACTGGCTGTGATCCCCAGACTAAGTGAAGTGTCGTCTTGTTTCCCAGATTTTGGAGTTTATGCCAGACTTGTATCCTCTTTGCTCTCTACTGATTTGTGCAGCCAGGTTTTGCAGAGCCTGTGGATTCCATATTTGGAGACCTGTCTGTTCCTTTGCACTGCATTGAGCACCAAGGGGCTGTTTCATAATCCTTTAAGCAGGAAAGAGCTTAAAGGGCTAAAGAGAATCCATTGCTCTAATCCTAAAACTTAAGGAAGAACTCAGATTTTTGCTAGGAGTTTCATTGGGCAGGAGTTTTGCATTTGCAAATGGAACTGGATTGGAAGGAACTGCTCTGACTGGAAAACCTGACACTCTACTCTACTCCTCTCCCCCCGGCTCTCTCCAGTTCCTGCATTGTTCCCTCCATTTCACTTCATTACACAGCCACACAAGAATTTTGTTGTCACAGGGGCAGGATGGTGTGGAGGAGGGATGATGCAGAGGGAAACTGGAGGATGCTTGAACCAGATAACGTGTCATTGACTTGAAACGTTTTAAATTTTACAAATACTTGGCCCAGAGGAGTGTCCAGGCATTTCCCAGTTGCTAATCTTCTCTTAATCCACTTGTAAACACAAGGACTGTGAAGTTCATATCGTCTGAGTGTTTCAGAATTGGGGAAAAAGTCGTGGGAGGAATATGGATGCGTTTGAATTTCTTCCTCCCTGGAATGTGGCCAAGCTTGAGTAGATAATACATGAAAGGCTACTTGCATGTGCTTTTGAGTGCAAGATTTCCACTTATTGTTTAGTTAACTCTGCAGAGAGCTGAAAATACTCATCTCAGTTAATCCAAAATCAGTGACCTTACCATAATATGTTGTGGTTGTAAAACTGAAATGCTTGTTTTGGCTAATTTTCCACCAGCAACCTTGCAAAGTGTCAAAATGAGATAAAAACTAAGCCTTCTGAAATGTGGGAAATAAAGTAAAGACAGTGATGTAATATAAGGAGGGTTCACAATCAGTTACTTCTGTCAGTTCTGTAGGACATCACCTTCTAATTGTTCCAACTCGAGTGGATAATGCTAGCTTTTTAAATAAATGTTTGTGTAAAAGTACTTTTTAAGCTTCTCTTAGTTATCTAAGTAGACAGTGATGTGGGTCTCTAAGTAGCATCTGTTTAGTGGGTCACCTTTGTGTGGCTTTATTCAGTGAATTCTTTTAGTGCAGTAGTTCTCCTGTTTTAAAGTAACAATTCAGGCACCTTGAGCCTCTGGTAGCAGGATAAATCAGCTCGGGATAGTAGCAATGTCAAGAATGCCACAGAGTTGTGATATTTAATGCAGTTCTGGTCCAAGTGTATTGTTTCATTGAACTTGAGATTTGGGCTGCTTTAAAAGAGAAGCAGCAAATTTTCTACTAAAAAATTTTAAAAGGGGAGCAGCTGCTATTGGTAAACTTTTGAAAGACCAAGGCCAGAAGTCTGTTTTGTTGTTTCTAGTGGATAATACCTGGTAACTTAATTAGTCTTAGGTGCATATCATGTCTTAATACAGCTATTCCCCATGCATTTAGCAAGTTTTCAAATTCTAGTAGTGCTAAGCAGTGAGACTGAAAAAGTAATTGTTGTTCTTAGTTGAATTTTAATTTCTGTTTAAAATCAATCTGGCACAAATTGTGAATAAAAATTCTTCATGTGGTAGATAAAATACAATTTGATTTACAACCCAGTAGAGTTGATTTTGATATATTATTATTACATTGAATAAAGCATCCTGAGCTGTGTTGTAACTTAGACTGTTTCAACTCTCACTTTTGGGGTGAATATTGTGTAACTTGGCTAAATGTGATGTGAGGATGGTGGAAGCTCCAAAGCATGGGTGCTAAGAGCTGATTTTTCAACTGAGTCATTCTGTTTTGGTATTTGTAGTAGTCTGTAGTACTGTCTTTGTGAATCTTGACAGACATGATGTGCTGGAACAGGTTGTCCAGAGAAGTTGTGGATGCCCCATCCCTGGAAGTGTTCAAGGTTGGATGGGGCTCTGAGCAGTGAGAGGTGTCCCTGCCCATGGCAGGGGGTTGGAACGAGATGATCTTTAAGGTGCCTTCCAACCCAAACCATTCACAGACTCTTTGACTCTGTGAAATGGAATGTAACTGAAATAGCAAGATGTACTTTCTTTACTTGATATTGTAATGTTATTTTTTTGTTCTAGATAAAACCATGTATTTTGGAATTACACTTGTAACGTGAATTTATTTTTCCTAACTTGAAAAGCAACATTTGACATCCTGGAAGCTATAATAGCATAGGAGGTAGGCAGATATATAGATATATATGGATATGTAGAGATAGATAGGTATACACACACATATATATATATACACACATATGTGTATATATAGGACCTATGATGGTCTAATGATCCAACACAAGACTAATAGTGTTTTTGTTTGATTTTTTGTTTTTTTTTTAAATATAGGGAAAATGATGAGACAGCAAAAGAGGGGAAAGCACCTGTGAAAGAGAAGTACGGTTCAAAAGCGAAGGCAATCCCTTCTCTTGGAAACAAGAATAGATTCCACCCCTATTCCAAGGAGAAGAATGCAGGCTCTGCAGACAAGAAGGCTGTTAATCGTAATAGAGTTTTTATTAGCAACATCCCGTATGACATGAAATGGCAAGCTATTAAAGATCTTATGAGAGAGAAAGGTAACTTATTCCTTATAATACACTTCACATAGAAAGGGCTAGGACTCAAATGCAGTGTATGTGTCCTTTGAGCCACACAGATTTGATTTGCCTTTTTTTGTTTTGGCCTTTACTTGGTACATCTATCTCCCTTCCCCCTCTTTCATCCGAGACAATTGCATTGCAGGGTAGGATGGGTAAATGAAGTGCTCACAACCTTCTGCCATTCTGGTGTGACAGTAGAGAGTATATGCATGACCTCATGACTTCCTAAAGAGATTGTGTTTCGTCTAGTTGTAGTTTCTGTAGTTTTTCTTTTTTTCTTCAAGGGCTATTGTATTTAAGCAACACATTAAGTGTGTTAACATGAATAATAAGGGATGTCTTTCAAAAGTTGTTTTGTATTTCTTTGGTGGAATCTGGCTGTGGCATTAACTTTGTCTGCATTGTCACTACTGCCATGACTGTTTGTCTGGAGATTTGTATTAAAAGCTTGTTACTATTGTTGCAGTTCTGATAGAGAAATCTTACTGCCCCCAAAATTTTGTTTTAAGTTTGGGGTAAAATAATGATAATATACGGATTTTGTAAAAAGTTAGTTCTGTGTTTTCCTTGAAAAATTGATTCTTCAAAAGTAATGCAAAGCACACTTGGCTTTTAGGCTGTGAAAAATGCCAGTACCCCTTCTGTAACTGCTGGTTTATCTGTTGTAAGGTGACGTGACTATTTGATTGGTTTATTCACTGAAACTTCCTACTTTAGAAAGTGAGTCGCTTGCTGTGAAATATTTGATGTGTAAATTTGGTTATTATTGAAGGCAAACTTATGATTGAAGATATTCAGGTAGAAAGTCACCTTAAAACAGGTGTTGTGAGTAGGATGATAAATGTAACACTTTCCAGTGAACGTTGACGTTTCATTTGTTAGGTTAAGGGACTCTGTATATCTGAATTTGTTCACCAACTATATCATACTGGCCAAAATATGATCTGTAGTATGAATTAGGTTAAATATAGTTGTTTGTTTTTAGCTTTTGAGAATGTGGCTGCTGCATATTTCTGAAAATTAGCTAAATTACATAGCCATTGACAGGAGGTATGTTGGTCTGGTTTTGATTGTTGGTGAATAATAGGTGATTCTCTGTAGACTTGTGCACAGGGGCACAGTAAAGAAAGATACTGGTGTTTAAATGCATTGTCTCTTGGTATTTTCCCTTTGTATGTCTTATGTAGTTGGTGAGGTTACATACGTGGAGCTGTTTAAGGATGCTGAAGGAAAATCAAGGGTAAGTGCCATGGGCAACAATCTGCTAGAGGTTTAAAAGTTCCTCAGCAGTTTTATTTTTGTATAATACCTGTACCAGTTATTGGAAAGTAAGTTTCATTTTTACACTGATTTTCATTAAGGTAGCCTTGAGGATTCTGTATTAGAAGTAGTCTGACACTTTCATGCAACTCACACTAGCTGGCTGTAAAGGACAAAGTACTTCTGTAAATGTTAACAAATGGCATTTACTTAATTCTTCTTTTTAGCCAACACCTTTGTTTTGGTACAAATTGTTTCATATAAAGGACGTTCAACAAACCACTAATTTTATTTAAATTTTGTTAGTGTAGTATTCTCGGGGCCAACGAGTATAAAATGTTAGCTAAGAATATACTGTGTGAAGTGCCTGATTTGACAGCTCTGCAGGGTTGGTACTTTAAACACTGGATTAATGTATTTTGCTTTCCTAAAACTAAATGGATAGAGATGGTTGGTAGCCAGCAGAGTGCCTGCAATGAGGCACTAGGAGTGAAGATTGTTAAAGCTCCTCTGTCTTCTTAAAAATAGTCAAAAGTTGGGCCAATAGCAGCTCTGAACCTGCAGTGAGAACATGAGAAATGCAGGTTTGAGTCTTAGCTGAGGTTGTATCAATTGTTGTAAATTACTTCTTCAATACTTGTTAAAACTAAAACATGCTGTCAGCTTTGCTATACTTAAAGCAATCCTCTACTCTTTGCTTTATTAGAAGGATTCTGGTGCAGTCAATCAGGTTATTTTCTTACAAGGTAATTTCTCAATTCTGCTGTAATACTGAAGAGGTATGCAGGCTCCTTGTTCATTGTACTGGTATACTCGATGTAGGTAGATTCGAATTCTTTAGTCAGTGGGCAGGTTTTAATGACATGATGAGTGTCTTGATTGGTTTTTGGTTATGTTTTGGGGTTATTTTCTTTCCACCCTTTCCCTCCCACCTCCTCTCCCCAATTGTCCTTACATGGATCTGTGTGGCATTTTTCCAATTCTGGTTTGACTCTAAGAGAGTAAGAGACAATGTATTCTCTTGCATTTGAAAGGTATGTATATTGAGAAAGCAGGAGAAATTCAGATTGGCTACCACTAAAGAACACGTATTATGGATTTTGAAGCTGAAAATAACTTGTATAGTTATTTAACAGTGAGCTGGGATCTTTAACTGGAATCTTCATTGCTCTGTTATATGTGCTGACTGACTTCTTGTTTGCTTGTTTTCTCTTTACATATGATGACAAATCTCATGGATGTAGGGTTGTGGGTAAGTTTCTTTTTCTAAGTGTGTAGAAACACACTGATATTCAAACATTCTATTCGTTTTGGCATTTTGGACTTTATTTTAATACTCTAAATGTTTTGTTCTCTCTAAGTGTGGTTGAATTCAAAGATGAAGAATTTGTTAAGAAAGCGTTAGACACTATGAACAAATATGATCTTAGTGGAAGACCCCTGAATATTAAAGAGGTATGGTTATTGCTGCTGTTTTGAATTTGAAATAGTGAAGGTACTGTAGCTACTGAGATGACAATACAGTGTTTTGACAATCTTGGATGTGTAATTTCCAGTTTAAGTTTGTATGAAATTTTCTTAATTGGCTGAAGTGCCTGTTGGCTTGCAGAAGCTATCTCAAGTGAACTGGCAAAAAGTGTATCCTAAAGTCAAAATAATCTAATGCTTTTCTTTGAAACAACTTTAACTTCATATTCTTGCCTTAGTGTCATCAGGTCTTTTCCAGCCTAAAGAATTCTATGTTTACATTGCTTACCTGCCTCAAAGTATGGCACAGAAGGAGCTAATTGTCAGAGTACTACATATGTGCAACAAGGGGGCTGGAAGTAGAGAAGTTGTGCTGCCTGGAAAGTGAAATAATACCAACATTTCTGTTGTAGTGTACTGTATCACAGTATTTGATGCAGTTCTTCTTGTCCTATTACAACTTTAATAGTAGTATTAATAAATAATATAAATCCACCACCTGATTAAGTTAATTCAGTTCTTGGAGGAAGGTGCCAGACTGACAGTCCTTTAGCTTGAAATCTTTTCTACTTGTCCATAGGGTAGGTGCAGCATGTGAAGTGGCAGTGCACACTTCCTCGGCAAGTGCTTTGCCAATATGGCTCAACCCTCATCTAAAAGGACCCACCTCTAGAGGTGAGGGAAGTAGGTCTCCATGCTAATTCAGTCTTTGATCCCTCTGACACGGACAAGGATATCAGCTGATAATTTTGATGGGTTTATGTAGAATTTCAACAGTACTTTTTGTTTGTCGCCAGTCCTGTTGTTGGTCATTAAGTGGCTTTGTTTTCACCCATGTTTCAGGATCCTGAAGGTGAACATGCTCGTAGGGCATTACAGCGTGGGGGAGGACAGTTTCCAGGAGGACATGGACCTGATGCAGCACCTGGAATAATGAATTTACCACCTTCTATTCTCAATAATCCAAACATTCCTCCTGAAGTTATCAGTAACTTGCAGGCAGGCAGACTTGGGTCCACTATTTTTGTTGCTAATGTAAGTTTAAAACTGCATTTTTCAACTTTAATACTTGATCTTTGTAAGACATCTTATACCTGCATAGTTCAGTTTTAATATAAAGAGGAAGTTGGAAATTAATTCACAATTACTATATTCAACTGAAAATGTTGTATATATATTCATATTTTGGACATGGAAAGATACATTAAACTCTTGAGGCTGGCATGCACTTATAATTATTGCATAGTTATTTGTTGATTAAAAAATATTTTATACATCTTTTTGCTATTTACAACTGCACTTTTTTTATTAAATATACACTTCAGTTTATCTTGCTAGTTACTTTAGACTAATTTAATGAAGTTCCAATAAATATAACAATGTAAGTTCTTTATTTGCACAAAAGACTACTGTATCTGCAGGAGGGCTTGTGGAAGTACAGCTGCTCTTAACAAGATTGAATCCATTCCTCAACATTAGTATGTTAATGAAAGTAAAATACATGTACATAGAACAAATTGTTGCTTTTAGACTTCGATGTAGTGTGTGTATATTACAAAATCTTGGCTATTTACATTCATCAAGCATTTTGTGAAGCTAAAGAGTTAACAGCAACGCAGGAAATCTCTTCAAATGTAATGGCAGAACAGAGATGTGCACTGAAATCACTCATGCATTTCTGTGTGTCAGCTTGACTTTAAAGTTGGCTGGAAGAAGCTGAAGGAGGTGTTCAGCATTGCTGGAACTGTGAAGCGTGCCGACATCAAAGAGGATAAAGATGGCAAGAGTCGAGGGATGGGAACAGTTACCTTTGAACAAGCAATTGAAGCTGTTCAAGCAATATGTATCCTTGGGTTTGGAAAACAATTGATCAAATATGGATTACTCTTTAATGGCTTCTGACTGCATAGTTTTGCAAATGGTGCTTATTTGCTTGTAGCTTGTGTATAGGGAGTAGAGTGTAATACTGTGCAGATGACATTTGTAAAAGTGACTAAGTTTACTGCTGAAGTCTAAAAGTTCCTGATGGTGTTGAACTAAATTAAAATATCTGGGAGCATGACAGTTGTTAAACTGACTTCCATGTACCTAACAGCTTGTATTGCATCTGCTGGCCTTTGAATTGGCATTCTAAGGATCAGGTAAGGAAAGATAAGGGTCCTAATTATGGTACAGAAATAAAATAAGTTATTATATTAATTCTTCTTAAATAGTAAAATTACCTTCTGTAGTTAGACTCCTTGACTTGCATTTCTTCAGCAATGTTCAATGGACAATTCCTGTTTGATAGACCCATGCATGTAAAAATGGTGAGTTGCTTACATTTCTTGCTACCTTATAATGTCTCTGCCAAAATATTGAAAGGATCATGGCATGACATCCTTGTTTTTTATCAGGATGACAAATCAGTTCCTCATGAAGATTTTCGTGCTGTGGACAGCAAAAGCTCACAGTTACCTCGTGAGTGCACACTCTGTTTTCTACTGCTTGCACTTAATATGTGATGATACGTGTTTTGGCACAGTTTAGTGCCTTTTTTGGCGTAGTTTAATAGTAGTTTTGCTTACTGTGGTCTCTGTATGATATAGAAGAAAATCTCTCTTCTGATGATACTTATTTTGTTGTTTTCAAGGTGGTCTTGGTGGCATTGGTATGGGACTTGGACCAGGTGGACAACCCATCAGTGCAACACAGTTGAGCATGGGCGGTGGAATGGGGAGCATGGGTCCAGGAGGTAAATCCACTTTCTTAATTTTTAAGTTGTACAGTTTAAAATTGTCACTTCTGTGTTTGGAAGAATTACAGACTTTTGATAAAGGAAGCCTTGTATAGTGTGATTTAGAGAATTTAACTATCTGTGAATGTTTAAAAATCCATGAGGATCTTGCCTGTCTTCTAAATGTTGTTTGTCTTTTTGGTTTAAAGGTATGGGAATAGACGGTCCAGGATTTGGTGGAATGAGTAGAATGGGAGGCGGTACGTGCAGTGAAGTTTTTTGCTTTAAGTGTTTCTTTAATACTGTATAGAAAACACTCGTCCTTATTTTACAGGACTTGCTGGATTTCGTGGAATGGAAGGAATGCCCAATATGGGAGGATTTGGAGTCAACAGAATGGGAGGTAGTTGAACACCGTTCCTGTACACTTACTAGTTCACTAATATTTATTTATTAATAAATATTATTTTATTAATATTAATTATTTAATATTAATTAAAGCTCTTCCTTTAGGGATGGGTAATATAGATGAGTCCAGAGGAAACAGTTGCCTGAGTGGAGGCCTAGTAACTGGCATGAGAGTTAAATGTTTAATGGGTGCCTCTGACTTGTGCATCAGACCCACTTCTATTTAAACAAGTAGCTGTGAAACAAGTATTGTAGGAGCATAAACTTCGATGTTAATAACAGAATATTCCTGTTTTTTTTCCTTGTTCTCTATAGAAATGTTCCGTGGTGGAATGGGAGCAAACATGGAAAGAGAATTTGGTCGTGGTGAGATGGCATTGAACCGTGGTTTTGGAGAGTCTTTTGGAAGGATGGGTATGGTAACTGTTAAATTTTCTGTGGAAAATTGCATCCAGAGGAGGGCCATGAGGATGGTGAAGGGTCTGGAGGGAAAACTGTAGGAGGAGCAGCTGAGATCACTTGGTCTGTTCAGCTGGAGAAGAAGAGACTGAGGGGAGACCTTGTCACAGTTATAGTTTCCTTGTGAGGGGAAGAGGAGGCACAGGCACTGATCTCTTCTCTGTGGTGACCAGTGACAGGACCTGAGGGAACAGCCTGAAGCTGTGTCAGGGGAGGTTTAGGTTGGATATTAGGGAAAAGTTTTTCACCCAGAATGTGGTCAGGCACTGGAACAGGCTCCCCAGAGCCTGTTTGCAAATGCATGATGGAACATTTTTACTGCAAATCAGGTAGCGTTGGATAGGAATGGTGAATGCCCTCAGTTTTCTTCCTGCCTTCTGAGCTCATGCAGCTCAGAATGGTATTTATTTGCCTCCTCTGAGGCAGCTTTGTTTTGTTTATAGATGATGTCTTGTTGACAGTGGGGTTCCCTCAAAGGAGTTACTCTTCTGTCTTCTGAGGCCTGGAAGTGCTTAACAGTAGAGCCTTCTTGCACTTTGTTACTATGCTGTACCTGGATGAATAGAATCGTTAGGCTGGAACAGACCTGTTGAGTCCAACCTTTTAACCCAGCACTGCTGAGTCCACCACTAAACCAGGTCTCCAAATGCCACACCTACATGTCTTTTAAATACCTCCAGGGATGCTGATTCCACCCCTTCCTTCCTCCACCTGTTCTAGTGACTGACAGAAGAAATTTTTCCTAATATCCTATCTAAACCTCCCCTGGTGCAACTTGAGGCCATTTCCTCTTGTTCTATTACTTGTTTCTTGGGTGAAGAGACTGACCTCCACATCTCTGCAACCTTACAGAGAGCAATAAGGTCTTCCCTGGGGCTCCTTTTCTCCGGCTCCCGCAGCTCCCTCACGAGACTTGTGCTGCAGACCCTTGACCAGCTTTGTTGCCCTTCTTTGGGCACGCTCCTCCTTGTCATGACAGGCCCAAAACTGAACACAAAATAATTGTGTGGAAGTGATAAGAACATAACGAGCTTGTCCTTTGAGCTAGGCTTAATGCCTTGGAATTAATGTCTTAGAACGTATGCTTTCAATCTGGCTACTTGCAACATTGGATAAACATCTGTTTCCTGAGTGAAAATGCAAAGTGATTCCAGTTGTAAATGTTCATGCAAGCAGTGGACGCTGAGTCTTCTGGTAATACGTTGGTTTTGAAATGCATGAACACGGGCACTGTGAGAAACTGGTGGGGGAGTCTTTCATTTAGTAGACCCAGCAAGCTTCATCTTGCAACCTGTCAGCAATCTTACCATATAAAGAGTGTTCTGAGAATCAAGATTAGAGTTTCCCAACTTAACCTTATAAATTACAGCACTCACAAATATAGTAGTTAATAGAGACCGTGTTTAATCAGGGGAGGCCCTACTGTACTCCTGTACAATATTTAGGTTAATGGTATTTTAAGAGGAAATATTGTGAAGGCATTTGGCTTTAGTAACCTTGAAACCAAGGAGGGTGTCTTTGATTGGGCCGTGGCATCAGTTAGTGAAATTGAGGATGTTTGATTTGGAGCAGAATTGCTGAATTTTTGTACTGTGAAGTTCAAATAAGATGAAGCCTTGAGTTTTGAGGTGGTTCTTCCCAATGTGGGAAATGGCTCATTTAGTTTTACCATGTTTGTGCTGCTGGCAGACTGTCAGAGGGGAGAAAAGCTAGAAAGAAATCAGAGTAGCTTAAATCCCATAGTAGAAAGGGAGGAATTAAAGGCAGGTTAAAGTGTTCTGTAGATATGTACTGCCAGGTAACACTGAGATCAGTGCACTTCATCAGCGTGTGCTTTGTTGTTGTCACTAACTGGTGGTTTCAGTGTATGTCACTTCATTATTTTTCTCTGTTTAGGTGGTGCAATGATTGGTGTTTTTGCAGGAGGAATGGGAGCACCTAGCATGGGCCCAGTAAGATCTGGAATGAGTAGGTTAACTTGTTTCAATAGAACATAAATGCATAGGCAATGTAATGATGTGGTGTACATGTAATTGTATCAGAGGATTTCCTTGTAGTGTAGTGTCTCGCTGTCTATGGAAGAAGTAGAGTTGCATGTGACTGCAAGTCTAATAGTTTTCAAAGCTTTTTTGTTGAGGTAAAAGTTCAGAGGAAAACTTGGTAATACAGTCTTTCCCTTATCTTAGTTTTGAAATGGTTTTAACTTCTAGTTTGGGGGGAAAGGTGATTAAAGTAAACTTGTGTTCCAGAAAAAAGACAGATGGGCACATTTATTTGTGTAAACTTCATGAAGCTGGACCTCAGTAATCAGTCATCATTGAAATAAAAAAATCAGGCTTGAATTTCAGATTATTACTCAGTTTAACTTTGTGCAAAGCTCCAGTACTGAGATTGTATTGCAGCAAATGTCTGAGTTCCTCAGGCTAGAGCAGATGAGAAACTAAAATTTCCCTAGTGCCAATCTTGAAAGGCATAAGGCTTAAAAAGAATGTCCCTCCTGAATGATCTTGATAGTTTTGCTGTACATTAACTTTTAATTATGAATCCAGAAATAATATTTGAATGCCATTGCTCTTAGTTCTTTTTATATAATATATATTAATATATTTCATATGTATCATAGGGAAGTCCATGCTCTTTACAGTGCTTGGCAGTAACTTCTGTTCTCTGCAAAACAATGCCTTCTGTGGAAGATTTTGTCATTAAGTGTGGATATTGCTTCATTAAGTAAAGCTCAATGTAAATGCAGGAAGCCAAATAAACAATAGTGTATTTGGTCAAATTATCTGTATCTTAGCATGGCCACAGTTATTTACTTGATCTTTTTGGTACAGGGTGTAACATTTTTATTAATTAAACAGGACAGCCTTTGAATCTGAATACTTGTGTTTAACATTTTGCTACATTAGGTGGTATGACTAACAGCTTGATGCAGTTTGGTCTTTTATTTTAGAACTGACACTTTGTGTCTTGTAATGGTTTGTCCTAAAATTTTAGCCATGCTACTGGATAAATCACTGTGCATGTATGAAAGTGATGGTTTATATTACTGCAGTTCTAATAAAGTTATTTTTCTCCTAATGCAAGAATTTTATTTTATTTTTATACAAAATACTTTTGTGTTTATTACTGAAAAGAGATTTTTATTTTATCCTCCATTTCTTTCTCTGTGTAGGTGGTGGAATGGGTGGTATGAACAGTATGGCTGGAGGAATGGGAATGGATCGGATGAGCTCTGGATTCGATCGAATGGGACCAGCCATGGGTGGAGGCCTGGACAGGAACATCGATATCGATCGAGGGTTTGTGCCTGGCCCCATGGGAAGTGGCATAAGAGAGAGATTGGGCTCTAAAGGCAACCAGATATTTGTGAGAAATGTAAGCAGTTGAATATGTAGAAACCACAAGCTTATTTTGTGTGTATATTTGATTCCATGCTCTTTTTCTCTTTGTAATATTTTGTTCTCAATAATGTGTTTTCATTCTAGCTTCCTTTTGACTTGACCTGGCAGAAGCTAAAGGAGAAATTCAGTCAGTGTGGTATGTATATGAATCTTGCCCCTGCTCAGCTCCCATCAGCTTCATGTTTTATGTGGGGTTTATTAGATAAGGACAGGAAGACAAAACTGTTGCCTTACTCTGAAGGACAGTTTGGTGAGCTTAATCTTTCTTACTTCACCCAGCTTTCTTGAGTTATATAAATAATTTTTAGGCATGGCTGTACAGGTCATGCATTACTTCAAGAAATCGAATCAGACTTAGTAATTTTGCCAAAGTGGCAGATTGGGTTTTTTAGGCATATAGATGATCCCGATTAGCATCTTTGAAGGCTGTAATGTTCCCCTTTGTCTTAAGAAATAAGGGGCCTTTTGATATAAGATAAAGGATTGCTACAAATATTCAGTAATTTTTTAATGTAATTCAGAAAAGTTTGTCTTTTCACAGAAGTAAACGAAAAATAAAGCTTGGGTATAAAAATACACATTGTGTTTTGAAAACACACTTTCAGAACAGAAAGCTTTTAACTGAATTACAGGATAACTTTTATTTTGGAGAGACAGACAAATAATCTAAAACACTGCTGATGTCTAAGACAGTTATACAGCTGTTTGCAGATTTGATATTAATAGAACTCACAGTTCAACTATGAAAAATTATAAGATGTTGATGTTATTTTTGTAGCTGGAGGGTATAGTGCAACAGGTTCTTTCTTTTTTTAAGTCTTAAATGCCTGGCAACTTTCAGATTGTTCAGAATTTGGTTTTTTAATCATCTCTTTTTCAGCTAACAGATGTAGTAATTATGTTCAGTTGCTTTTAAGAATTATAAGCAACAGATTGTATTCGTGTCAGTGTCATAAGGAAATACAAAGGCTGTCTCCCCATGTTCAGTTTCTTTCAGTGAAAGGCCAGTCTTATATGATAATTAAAAATAAAAAGCCATATATTTTAGGGAAAAGTTTTTTGTTCCTAGTGGAATTCTGGGGCTCAGGAGGGATGTGCTATAACACACCATAAGCAGAAACTCATTAGCTCCAGGGAACTGAACATTCTCAGAGGTACCAAGACATCTTCATAAAAATAATGCCTCGTGAGTTGGGTGTCCAACCTCAAGAAAACTTGGCGAGAATTGAATAGTGCATGTTACTTATCCACCACTCCTAACCCGCTAACTGCATCATTTTAAAGACATTAATTTTGCTCTGCAGCTTCTTAACAAAACTCTTTGATACTTGCTATTGCTTGATATGTTTTTGTGATGAACACAGTGGACTGGACTGATCTGCAGTTCAGTTAATGCCTGTCAATACTCACCCTTCTGTCAGTGTCTGTAAATGAAACACAGACCTTTCTCTGAGTCTTACAGGGCCCTTTGTTTCAAACTTGAGGTCAAATACAGGCATAGTTATACTTCATCTTAATGCTGGTGTGAAGATTTGAAATAGTGGATCATAATTTGGATTCTTCACTGCTGTTTTGTCCCGTGTCCCCTTGCCTGACTGAGTGAATGTACCATCAGTCTGGAAGTGCCAATTTCGTGTGTTCCCCTAGATTATACTTAGAAATGTCTTTTTATCACTTCTGAGTTCTCTAAGTTGTTAGTGCACTGAGGACTTGAAATAACTGCTGTTTAACTTATTTATTCAGGTCATGTAATGTTTGCAGAAATAAAAATGGAGAATGGAAAATCAAAGGGCTGTGGAACAGTCAGATTTGACTCACCAGAATCTGCTGAAAAGGCCTGTAGGATAATGAACGGCATAAAAATCAGTGGCAGAGAAATTGATGTCCGCTTGGATCGCAATGCATAATTTAAAACTCTGTGTTCAGGAACATTCCTATGTCTTGTTTAGCTTCTCTATCTTAGCAAGTCATTTTTAGTAACATTGTATGCTTACAAAAGCTGTAAAAAGGAACTTTTAAATCCCACCAGCCTTTAACAGTATAGTGTTTAATATACTGTGATACTTGTTAACTGAATCTTACTATGTTTGGTTTTTAAAGACAATTTGCCTGATTTTTGTTGTTTTTTTAGAGGCACTGAGCACCTGCAGGTCCCTGTTGACCGTGGAAGGTTTGGATGCTCAGTGCCTTTGGAAAATTAGGCCAAGTGTCTCTAGTCATTCAGTTTAAATGAATGGTTATACTGTTTTTAATAAAATAAGCCATTTTCTCTGTTAATCTCAAGACTGCATAGTGGGATTTATTTAGTGTTTTCTGGTTTTTATTTTTGCCCTCCAGTGTGTATCAACATTGTAATGTAAAAAAGTAGATGTCTTTTTATTTTTCAGAATTTTGGTTTTATATGTGTGTTGTAGTCATACTGTAATTCCTGACTCTAAAAGAAAGGGCTCCAGTTAGGCTGTGATGTTTTTGTTCTTAATATTACTTTGATGACATGACTTAGTTCTGTATATAAGACTTAGAGCCCAATGGGAGTTTGGAGTTGTTTTTTTTATTTTATTTTATTTTGACTAAATGAAGAAACTGATCTTTTCCTCCTGCTTTAATTTTTTTCATCAGTATAATCACTGATTAAAACTAGTTACCACAGACCCTTGTAGGATTGTTTCCTATGATGCCAAGTTCGTATAAAATTGCTAGTACAGTAAATACTAAGTACAGTACAAGACAAATGGTTCCCAGTTTTTTATCTATTTTCCAGCCATTCAGGTGAACTGCCAGAAAAATAAAAACAACAGAACAGATAAGAGAAATGGCTGTGTATGTCAGACCACTGCTGTTCACTTCTATGGGTCCTGATGTATTTATGAAGGCAGTTTTTATAAACCAGGGTATTCCCAAACAGAGCATATCAAATACATTGGATCCTACAATGTTAGACATAGCCATATCTCCATTTCCTGTAAAAGAAGAAAGGCAAATAAGTTTGCTTAATTGTATTGGATGAAATTGCCAAACTGTTTTGGAGGAACAGACTGTCAGCCCTCAGTTTCTCACAGAGCACCCTTTTCAGATTGTGCATCGAAGGAACTGTAGTCATGATTCTACAGAACACGGTTTTGGGTACCACAAGCATAAAAATATCTCCCTAAATCACCAGCATCTGCACAGTTGCACTTAAAATAAGCTAGACAGGCTAAGGTCCAGTTAAGTTTAAAATACCAAGACCTACAGTTGTGTTCTGCAGTAAAACTGTAATACTTGATCAACAACAAATAAATCAATCTAGAATACTTCTCTGAGATACTCTGAGAAGTTTTGAAATGTCTGAGCCACAGCTTTTTCAGGTAAGCTATTTATTTATTTTTAGTAAATTTAAGCTCTAGAATCTGGAGCACAAATTTTGAAGTTACTCCTTGAATTCCTGGAAATATTGACTAGAATTCTTTTTTTTTTCTTCGTACCTCTTAAACACATCCATTGGCATGAGGTGGAATACTAAAATCTTTACCTTTTCGAGCGACCAGCACACTTGCAACTGTATCTGGTACACTTGTTCCTGCTGCTAGTAATGTGAGACCCATTACTGACTCTGGAATTCCCAGTGTTTCACCTGCAGTTGATAAATAAGGGCAGAAAATGCAAGTATGTTTTTAGTTAGGTTTCATCCAAAGAAAGTGCTTTGCACTATGTTTGCTAGAGAAAGAATTAGTAATCATACAGTAATTTCAAATGGAATGTGTCAGCTAACTTGACTATATATGAAGTGACTAAATCACAAAGCAGTTAAAAACAAGAGTAACAACAAAGAAATACCATCCTGTCCTTGTTCTTCAATCAAATAAAAAAGGAACTGTAGTATAGTAACCATCTTAAGTTTCTCAAAGACCTGTGTGGAATGTCTCCAGTGGTCAAGAAAATAGCAGTTATGAATTTTTTCTTGCAGATAAAGTAGATGTTTAAATATCTAACAACCACTTTTTTTTTTCTTTTTTTTGCTTTCAACTTTAGAAAATATAGTCTCTCTTACAGTTTTGGGCGTCTCCTCATTAGTGTTCGAAAGACTTATGAAGCAATAACTCTTATAATCATTCTCTCTAAAGGGGAAGGGGAAAAGCACATGAATTTTCTTGGGTAGGAGGATCATTAAGATATTAGGAGAAAACTGTCTCAACTACATGTTTACCATTTCACTCCAATTAGAAAGTGCTTAGATTTGGAAGAATCAAAATGCAGAATTTTTATATGACTTGTAAGTACAAGTAACGCTTTGGAAGTGTGAGTTCCTTTAGGTAAATACTTGTTTAAATTAAGAAAAGTTTTAAACTGTTACTAAAAGGGCAGCTTATTTTTCCCCCACTGTCTATTTTTCTTAGCCCCACATGTCCTGTGACTCTGTTCATTTCTCACTTAAAATACAGAGATTCATCAAAACCATTTTAGCAGTTGTACCATTCAGAAGGGTCAATATGCTGAAGTGTTTGACACCTCTGTTCAAGCTATTAAGTAATTAGTTTTTCTTAAACTTTTTTGATTACTAAAAACTATCTTAATATTTTTATTGTTGAAATCTGAATTCTTACTTGCAGTATTTCAACGCTAATAAGAGCAATTTTAATAAAATAAGAGGCAGTGCTCTAAGCTGGGTCAGCAATGCTTGTTTATTACTTACCAACTTAGTCAAGAGCAGCCCAGTAAATTTATGTTTGAAACTGTTTGTTGGTTCAGAGGGACTAACATGATCCTGTTGCAGAATTTGTACTCTCTTTATCCTTCCATCTCTCCTAATATATTTGTAGGATGAGCGACCAACAAAATCAGCTTTTATAAACCACCCAGGCTGGAAAATAATGGGTCAAACCAAGGTGAAGTATGAATGAACCAGCCTTATGTACCCAACAGTAGTTTCTAGCCCTCTGAAGGTTATAAGACAGAATATAAACTCAGGAGAATCTAATTTTTCTTTTTATTAGATAGATTTATCTTCTATTTAATGTGTAGGGTTGTTTTTTTTTCTGGCAACTGACCATAAAGATAGAATAGTATTATTTTTCTAGCCTTTAGTTAATTTTGTGTATCAGTGACAATGTCTTGCTATAAGTAGTCAGATTTTCTTTGCTAGCAACAGAAAGGTGTACTGAGGTAGGTTTGTTCTTGACCATCTAAGTTTAGTCCCCAGCTGTGACACCTTTGTGACACTCTGATAGGCTGATTATGCAAAGATAGAATCTTTGAGTCAACCTTCATGAAAGAATCTGGACTTGAATATAATGTGTGTGTAACTTTTAGTGTTTTAACATGTAAATAGAACATATTTTACCTAGAAATAGTGGGCCAAAGACCCCAGTACTGCCTGTGATGACTGTTGAAGGTGAACTAATACACTACTGAATCTCCACTGTACCTGCTTTCATATGAATTAATGCTTTGTCTTGTAGAACAGCAATAACTTTGACTTGAATCCTGTTTCAAAGGCTTCTAGCATCCAGACAGTGAACCCTTGCTCTTTAGATACAACTGGAAAATTATTTGACCAAGGGGTGAACGTGGTGATTGTTGTATCCAGCCATTTACTAGTTATTTCTCAAAGGTTTACCAAATGTGTAGGTCTGTTTCTGCACTGAACAAGGAGTTATTCATATCTGAGCTAGCAGAATGCTTGAGTAGGATTAGTGAACTATAAGGTGGAAATGGCAAGCTTTGTAAAATTTCTTTCTTGTTTAGAGTTTTGTTTTCTGCTTGTTCTTAAAATTAAAAACTTGATTTCTTTAAAGCTGACTGGAGAAATAGTGAAATGAGGAGACCTTCAATACCTTAAGGTACTTTAATACCTTAAGGTACCTTAAAACATTTAGTAGAATGTTTTTACACACAAGTTCATACCCTTTCCCTCACTTAAACACAATCCTTTCACTGCTTCAGTTTTTGATGATGCAGATTTGTAAGAGATCTACATACACACACACCAAGAATGGTTAATAAACACATGATGCTATAGTTGAAATAATATACTACAAAAATTTGGGACCTTTTTTGGCAGTTAATTTAATGCCAAATCTCTTACTATAGCACTCATGAAAAATACAGGTGTAGAAATATGAGATCTTTTCAAAAAACCTTAACCTCCAATTCCAGTCTTTGTGGATTTTGTGTTTGTCAGCCTTCAGCGTGACAAGTTTATTGCTGTGTATCTAATTGTTTCCCTTAATGAGCAGTTTAATGAAACTCTTTTTAAATATAGGCTGGTTTTTTGTAGCTACATAAACAAATCCTCCTTCCTGTGATGGTAAGTAGCGTGGAGCAGCTAAACTCGAAAGTGTTCCATCATTAGATGGAAGAGGGTGGCCAACTAAGTAGTCAAACATAAGTTTCTGTTGGGTTTTCCTTGTTGTGTTTTTTTACAGCAAAGTCTGAGTTGCTAAACTGACTTGGTTGTGGAAAGGGAAACTTCACAGGGAGAAAACTCTTTTTTAAGTGATTCTTGGTTGGTTGATGCTGTATAGCAGGAGCACTTTGGGTACCTACCTGCTATTGTTATCATCCATACGAGAACATAAGTTATTGCAGAAATCCATGCTGCTGAAATTAAAAATGTCACCATGAACCAGTTCCTCCAAAACTGTCTTCTGCAATCTGGTATAGTCAAATAGAGTAGTGTAATAATGGGAAGTGATAACACCCACAAAATTCTCTTCATATCTGCTTCAGGCATGGTGAAGACATTTGGATGATCTGGTGAAGAAAAAGTAACTATTTTAAATTGTAGCATTAAGTTTGAATCCATAGCATACAGTATATTACTGTCCTCTACTTGTGAGAATACTGAAAAAAGGTGAAAAATACCTCCTCAAGTTCCAGCTGTAGTATTGCCCAGTACCTGCATCACTCTGGACAAAATTTTGAAATCAAGTTACTCATGGGGAGATTCTACTTGTACACAAGAAAAGCATTTTTCACAATGAGAATAATCTGCTACTAAAATGATCTCCTCAGGGAAGTGGTGGATTCCTAGTGCTAAACACTTCTAAGATTCAGCTGAACAGGTGCTGGGCCATATTCTCCAGACCATGCTTTTGCCAGGAAAGGTTGGACCAGGTGATCCCTGGGGTCCCCTTCCAACCTGGTACTCTATGATTAAAATGTTCTTTATTACCACATCACCAAGGTGGATGAAAAATGAACTTCTCTACAAAGGTTTACCCATAACATTTACCAAAAAAACCTACTGGTTTTTTGCCTAAGAAGAAACATGGCCTGTGGCCACATCACAGCTATTCCTTCTGATATGATGCATCTCTTGGGCTATGAATCTGTCATCGTCATAAGAAAATAGCATATATTAGTACAGTACCAGTGTGGCTTTCAGGTGGTAGTGCATTTTACAAGCAGTGTTGCTGGGAAGTTTCAAATATACACAGCAAAGACGGATAGAAGTTCTAATATGATAAAAATGAGCAACTATGCTTACATTCCTCTAGCAATTAACTTCATATAAATACCATCAGTCTGATTTTGCTTAATTTTATATTCCAGGTTAGAATATTATTTACTTAAATACTATGCTGGAGTTCTTTTGTGAACAAAATCTTAAAACTATCTCAGAATCTGCTCTTGATTAGAACTGATGCAGACAGGCATGCAGAGTGCTAGAGACAGCTGTAATAGTACTTGTACCTCCAGAGATTTCATCAAGCCCATGTAAGCTTGTTGAAAGGTGAGAGTAGTCCAGCTCATCCTGAAAAATTCCGCTGTCTGTCCTTGACTGCTGACGGATTAGAGGTCCACTCTCTTCCCTCCATCCAACCAGTGGCTGCTGCTCTGCATTCTCTTCCATAGCTTTTGTAAAACATGTACAGCAGGGACTGAACTTTTTCATGAGGTATTGGTTGATTTTAATGTCAAAACACAGTATCAGAATATAACACCCATATATCAATAATAAGGATGCACTTTCATACCTAGAATGAAAAACAGGTTTTATGTAACGTAGTATAAAAGAACCCAGTGGCTGGTATAAGTAGAGAGATAAAATTTGCATGAGTAGCAAAAGGAAAACATACAAAAGCATCTTTTGCAGTTGTATGGCTGATGTCATGGAAGTTTGTGAGTGTCCCCCTCTCTTTCAGCAGTTTGATTAATTCCCCTCCCCTGCAGAATCTTGTTTGTGTATTGTATAGCTGCATGTTTCCCAGGGAATCTTACTGACTGAACATCTTCCTGATGTTTGCAAAACTGAGTCTTCATGTGATGGTTAAATTAGAAACTTCAAGAGACGTAGTGCTGGACCTGACTGTCTTTTTGAGGTAACAAGAGTTTTGGTGTTGATGGAAGAGTTACAACATCAGAAACTCATGATCTTCTTCTGGCAGACAAATGTTTTTGTGAACAATTCTGCTATGAAAGGAAAGGCTCAAAAGGAGTAAATGATGAACACTAATTGCTATGCTAGAACAGTCGTGACAGAAATTGTGAAGTCTGTACAGACAAACCTATGCAGATCAAACTTTATAAATATGCAGGGTTTGAATGTTTAGGTAATAATCTTTACAAGCATCGTGACTTTCTGTTTTTTAAAGCCAACAGGATGTTTATTTCTGTTAGTGAACGGCAGTTCAGGCTACTTGAAGTTTGGGGGTTTTTGTTTGTTTTTCAAAACACTGTCTCGCTAATCTCCAGTCAACATGAATTCAACACAGCTTGTGCTCTTACCAGTAAATTCTGTTGTCAGAGATCATCGCAAGGACTGCTGCTGCACTGATTGTATATACCAGACAGTCTCGAAACAGCGGCCAACAGGATAGCCTGGAAACCTGCAGATCAGACTCATTTACTTTTCTTAAACCTCTCTGTAATACTTTCACTAAGTGCTGTAAATGCTGCATCAATATGTTGTTTCTATATTATGTAAAAATTTAAGATTCTTAGGAATGACTTAAGTATGATATTTAACAAGTTAGTGTTTTTAAAAACTTTCATAGCAAGTTATCTTAAAACTGATTACATGCTGGTTTTGCTACTAAATAATAAACTTGGCAGTTGTCATAGTAAGTCTCCCTTGGCTTTTCTTGGAAAATGAGAATAGATAACTATTAGGCTCTTAGGAGCAGAACTATCAAAGTTGATACATACCACAGTGGAAAGCAGTCCACAAGCTGCAGAAATACCAAGGAGATTATAGATTGCTGATCCAAGGATGGTGCTGACGCCAATATCTCCCTTTGTCACAAAAGCTCCTATAAGGAAAATGACTTTCTGGTATGTTTCAGTTCCACATGCAAGGAAAAGAATTCTAGGTTCTAAGGAGTCAAAACATACCTAGGAAAGCAGTGACAAGCTCTGGAGCAGAGCTTCCAGCAGCCATAAAGGTTGCTCCAGCAACATCCTGAGAGAGGCCAAGGCCTGGGTATAGAGCAAATTGATACTTCAGTAGTCTGTACCCTTTACTTGCAATAGTATATAATGTTAGATGCTACTACAGTTTAATAGAATGAACTTTCATTACTTTCGTACAGTCAATGCATTTATTTGAGATTCATCAAATAATATCTTGAAAACCAGCCTCATTTATTGGGCTAGTTTATTTCTAACTTTGTTACAGAAATTAGTTTAAATACCAGAAAAGAGGTACTGATAATGAATTTTGAGATCATGTGCATATCTCTTGTAAAATAGGCATTTGTAAGCAGGCTTCAACTGTGTTTCATATGGGTAATAATTGTGGGGAAATTCCGTGAACTGGTGTGATATTGTTACATGATCCATATCAAGTCTATCTGTCTTCCAGGGAAATCTATACTACTGTGTCTTCACATACCAGAAACACTAGTTACATGCAAATTTGTGCTGCAGTCTTAAAATCAAATTTTCACTTTGTATGGACAGTATCAAAGCCTGTGTCTTGCTTGAAAGAAATGAGATTTTTGTCCTGGTAAGTTGACTGTTTCTGAAATGTAACTCACTCTGGGGATCAAGTCTTCCACACAAAGAAGAGGGATGTTTGGCCAACCATGGAGGAAGTCTGACAAATGCTCAGTTATCATCAATTAAAAAAAAATCAGCTCTACAGCAGTGTTTGAACTTACATTTTCTGTAAGTGTTCTGGTTTGGAGAATGTTTTCCGGTGTTCAGGGATGAGTTTCCCTAAGGAATTTTTTTAATTCTTGGCAATGAAAAGCTGAACTCCCAGCCAAGACCATCTCTTTAATTCACTGGTCTGCTTAAGCCAGGGGAATTGGTACAGGTTGATTAGATGTCAGAGAACCATTGTAACCACAGTATTCCTTTGCTTCCTGTGTCATACTTTTAATATGTGAACAGTAGCTCATCCTCGTACTTGTTCACTACATTCATAGAAAGAAACTCTAGGAAGGTGCTAAATTCCTATGCTCTAATACAGGGAGAGGTTTGGTTTCTTGGTTTGGTTCCACACACCAGCCTTCCCCCCCTTTATTTTTCTTTTACTAGTAACCTGGACATGCCACTGTGCATCCCAAAGTTACATTGTCAGTTTAGTTAATACTGAGGAAGCATTAAGAATTTCCTCCAGTCAGAAAGAAAGCAAATACTAAATGAATACCTGTGCAGTTTAATTGGAGTAGGTTTTTTCAAGATAATATTGATCCTGTGTATCAAATTAAATCCTGTATTGATATGTCTATGCACAAAGACTGAAGCTTGTTTAGTTTTGTTTCAGAGCGCTCAAACTTTGAAGTTTTTTAAAAGAGAATGTTTTAAGAGAATGTTTAAAGAGAACTGAGCACCAAGCTGCTCAGTTTTACAGGGAGAAGATCAGGATGTCACTTACATTCACTGATGATCTCAAGGGAGGGTAGGAAGTAATCATCGCACACAATGGACACGGCCAAAAACATGTACAGGATAATTATGAAGTAGATAACGATTCCTCCATCCTTCCTCTCCTGCGGTGTGAAAAATCCTTCAGGAAACTCCGATGAAGACGAGAGGACACAGCGTGTCCCGTTTTCTGAAAATTTGAGCACAGAAGTGTTACACATCTTGACACCCTTCAATTCCGCAGGCTGTGGGGGCGTCTCCGCGAGTTCGAGCTCCGGTGTGTTTCGCTGTTTCAGACTGGCAGCGATGTCCCCAGGCCCCCTGAGAGCCCCGCGGTCCCCTCAGGCCCCGTACCCGGCCCGTACCCGCGCTCCCGCCGGGCCGCTGTGCCCGCGCTCCCCAGGCCGCGAGCGCCGCCAGCAGCAGCAGCGCCGCGCGCCGCCGCGCGCCCGCCCGCATCGCCCGGCCCCGCGCGAGCCGCTCTGAGCGCGGGCGGCA